TGTTACCAGTAAGGCGCACCTAAAATCAATGCCTGTGCAGTAGATAGGTACTTGGAAGTTGGAACTATAAACTGTGCTTTCACATCCATTGATGAGCCACACCACACTTATATGGCATTCAGGCGCAAGCCTAGGCAAATATTTGAACAATGCAACACAAGTTTAAATTGAGTTAACAATAGTGTTAGAGTTCAAACTTCAAGTAGTTTTTAATTAAGATGCCAGGCAAGCAACAACTTAAAGTGACGTTTAAACACTAAAAATAATCTTCAATCAAGTTTTACTTCAAGATCCATGACAAAGAAGCATAATTTGTAACATGGAACACCCACCGTAGCTTTCTACTAGAGCCTTGTGGCAAAATAAGGTGCCTTGGTTTATATAAACTTCAAAGAAAAAGATGGAGTGAGAGATCCTGACTAGCTCCAATTATCAAAACCCGCTTAATTTCTTTCAAAACTGTCAATGCTTGGTACAGCAGTTACCAAGAAAAGAAAAATGGTACCAGTAGCCCTTAACTCTTCTGAACTATCTGTTTATTTTGATTGCACTATATGACCAATATATGACTGACCTTCCTGACATTGCAATTTTTGTTTTAGTAGCCTCCAGTCGCTTCTTATTGCGCTAGGAAAGTAACAAGCACGCCAATTACACAGCCATTTAAAACACTGCTATAAGTGAAATAGGGACACTTCTTCGCTTTATTCACTAGCTCATTTGAATTAATTGAAACTATTGGAGTTTTATCTATAGATTATTGGAAAATTATTGTTTTATAAAAATCTCAAGCATTATTTAATTTCATCTGAAGGGCTTTGCTGAAAAAACGTTTTAAATTCGTGCAGCAAATGGTAGCTCATTCACAAGCCTTGAATAGGCCAAATGAAGCTTAGTTTTTTAAAAACAAAAGTTTAAATGTCCTGAAATCATTCCACTGGTGACTCAAAATGTTTTGGAATGCAAACAACCCATAAATAATTCTTTTGATTTCTGCTGAACCAAACATGAGTTCAGTTATTTGAGTACGTCTGTCAAACTAGCAGCGAGCAGCGAGCAGCGAGTCCAGCAGCGAGAAACGGGCCATCCTGATTTAGCTGAAAATTGGCTCACAGAGCCTTCTCAGTACGCTGATTCCGAAAATCATGGTCTCTAGGGTGGAAATATTGACCGTTCTCGAGATAGAACCCTCTAAAGTTCTTACCACCCATGACCGGGCCATCCCGATTTGGCTGAAAATTGGCTCATAGAGCCTTCTCAGCACGCTGATTCCGAAAATCATGGTCTCTAGGGTGGAAATATTGACCGTTCTCGAGATAGAACCCTCTAAAGTTCTTACCACCCATGACCGGGCCATCCCGATTTGGCTGAAAATTGGCTCACAGAGCCTTCTCAGCACGCTGATTCCGAAAATTATGGTCTCTAGGGTGGAAATATTGACCGTTCTCGAGATAGAACCCTCTAAAGTTCTTACCACCCATGACCGGGCCATCCCGATTTGGCTGAAAATTGGCTCACAGAGCCTTCTCAGCACGCTGATTCCGAAAATCATGGTCTCTAGGGTGGAAATATTGACCGTTCTCGAGATAGAACCCTCTAAAGTTCTTACCACCCATGACCGGGCCATCCCGATTTGGCTGAAAATTGGCTCACAGAGCCTTCTCAGCACGCTGATTCCGAAAATCATGGTCTCTAGGGTGGAAATATTGACCGTTCTCGAGATAGAACCCTCTAAAGTTCTTACCACCCATGACCGGGCCATCCCGATTTTGCTTAAAATTGGCTCACAGAGCCTTCTCAGCACGCTGATTCCGAAAATCATGGTCTCTAGGTTGGAAATATTGACCGTTCTCGAGATAGAACCCTCTAAAGTTCTTACCACCCATGACCGGGCCATCCCGATTTGGCTGAAAATTGGCTCATAGAGCCTTCTCAGCACGCTGATTCCGAAAATCATGGTCTCTAGGGTGGAAATATTGACCGTTCTCGAGATAGAACCCTCTAAAGTTCTTACCACCCATGACCGGGCCATCCCGATTTGGCTGAAAATTGGCTCACAGAGCCTTCTCAGCACGCTGATTCCGAAAATTATGGTCTCTAGGGTGGAAATATTGACCGTTCTCGAGATAGAACCCTCTAAAGTTCTTACCACCCATGACCGGGCCATCCCGATTTGGCTGAAAATTGGCTCACAGAGCCTTCTCAGCACGCTGATTCCGAAAATTATGGTCTCTAGGGTGGAAATATTGACCGTTCTCGAGATAGAACCCTCTAAAGTTCTTACCACCCATGACCGGGCCATCCCGATTTGGCTGAAAATTGGCTCACAGAGCCTTCTCAGCACGCTGATTCCGAAAATCATGGTCTCTAGGGTGGAAATATTGACCGTTCTCGAGATAGAACCCTCTAAAGTTCTTACCACCCATGACCGGGCCATCCCGATTTGGCTGAAAATTGGCTCACAGAGCCTTCTCAGCACGCTGATTCCGAAAATCATGGTCTCTAGGGTGGAAATATTGACCGTTCTCGAGATAGAACCCTCTAAAGTTCTTACCACCCATGACCGGGCCATCCCGATTTTGCTTAAAATTGGCTCACAGAGCCTTCTCAGCACGCTGATTCCGAAAATCATGGTCTCTAGGGTGGAAATATTGACCGTTCTCGAGATAGAACCCTCTAAAGTTCTTACCACCCATGACCGGGCCATCCCGATTTGGCTGAAAATTGGCTCAGAGAGCCTTCTCAGCACGCTGACTCCGAAAATCATGGTCTCTAGGGTGGAAATATTGACCGTTCTCGAGATAGAACCCTCTAAAGTTCTTACCACCCAAGACCGGGCCATCCCGATTTGGCTGAAAATTGGCTCACAGAGCCTTCTCAGCACGCTGATTCCGAAAATCATGGTCTGAAGTTGCTATATGTTAGCGTCACCTGGTGGGCAGTTTTAGAAGATTGAACAAAATGCGGTTCTAATATGTTGTAGGTACATTAATTGTGCGTTGAATGACACCAGAAACTTGATGATCGGTTCAGTGGTTTAAAGTCCAGAACCTTCGAAAGACACCAATGTTTCGTGTACCAACCCTTAAGTGTTTCTGACCTAAGAGTCAATGTAGAGGGGTACTCAGCTGCTTCTCCTGCCTAAACTAAAGATGGATGATGGATGGTGGATGGTGGATGGATGGATTGACGCCTAAACTGGCCCGGTCATGGATGGTAAGAACTTTAGAGGGTTCTATCTCGAGAACGGTCAATATTTCCACCCTAGAGACCATGATTTTCGGAATCAGCGTGCTGAGAAGGCTCTGTGAGCCAATTTTAAGCAAAATCGGGATGGCCCGGTCATGGGTGGTAAGAACTTTAGAGGGTTCTATCTCGAGAACGGTCAAGATTTCCACCCTAGAGACCATGATTTTCGGAATCAGCGTGCTGAGAAGGCTCTGTGAGCAAATTTTAAGGAAAATCGGGATGGCCCGGTCATGGGTGGTAAGAACTTTAGAGGGTTCTATCTCGAGAACGGTCAATATTTCCACCCTAGAGACCATGATTTTCGGAATCAGCGTGCTGAGAAGGCTCTGTGAGCCAAATTTCAGCTAAATCGGGATGGCCCGTTTCTCGCTGCTGGACTCGCTGCGAGGGTTCTGTCTCGAGAACGGTCAATATTTCCATCCTAGAGACCATGATTTTCGGAATCAGCGTGCTGAGAAGGCTGTGTGAGCCAATTTTCAGCCAAATCGGGATGGTCCGGTCATGGGTGGTAAGAACTTTAGATGGTTCTATCTCGAGAACGGTCAATATTTCCACCCTAGAGACCATGATTCTCGGAATCAGCGTGCTGAGAAGGCTCTGTGAGCCAAATTTCAGCTAAATCGGGATGGCCCGTTTCTCGCTGCTGGACTCGCTGCGAGGGTTCTATCTCGAGAACGGTCAATATTTCCACCCTAGAGACCATGATTTTCGGATTCAGCGTGCTGAGAAGGCTCTGTGAGCCAATTTTCAGCCAAATCGGGATGGCCCGGTCTTGGGTGGTAAGAACTTTAGAGGGTTCTATCTCGAGAACGGTCAATATTTCCACCCTAGGGACCATGATTTTCGGAATCAGCGTGCTGAGAAGGCTCTGTGAGTCAAATTTCAGCTAAATCGGGATGGCCCGTTTCTCGCTGCTGGACTCGCTGCGAGGGTTCTATCTCGAGAACGGTCAATATTTCCACCCTAGAGACCATGATTTTCGGAATCAGCGTGCTGAGAAGGCTCTGTGAGCCAAATTTCAGCTAAATCGGGATGGCCCGTTTCTCGCTGCTGGACTCGCTGCGAGGGTTCTATCTCGAGAACGGTCAATATTTCCACCCTACAGACCATGATTTTCGGAATCAGCGTGCTGAGAACGCTCTGTGAGCCAATTTTAAGCAAAATCGGGATGGCCCGGTCATGGGTGGTAAGAACTTTAGAGGGTTCTATCTCGAGAACGGTCAATATTTCCACCCTAGAGACCATGATTTTCGGAATCAGCGTCCTGAGAAGGCTCTGTGAGCCAAATTTCAGCTAAATCGGGATGGCCCGTTTCTCGCTGCTGGACTCTCTGCGAGGGTTCTATCTCGAGAACGGTCAATATTTCCACCCTAGAGACCATGATTTTCGGAATCAGCGTGCTGAGAAGGCTGTGTGAGCCAATTTTCAGCCAAATCGGGATGGCCCGGTCTTGGGTGGTAAGAACTTTAGAGGGTTCTATCTCGAGAACGGTCAATATTTCCACCCTAGAGACCATGATTTTCGGAGTCAGCGTGCTGAGAAGGCTCTGTGAGCCAATTTTCAGCCAAATCGGGATGGCCCGGTCATGGGTGGTAAGAACTTTAGAGGGTTCTATCTCGAGAACGGTCAATATTTCCACCCTAGAGACCATGATTTTCGGAATCAGCGTGCTGAGAAGGCTCTGTGAGCCAATTTTCAGCTAAATCGGGATGGCCCGTTTCTCGCTGCTGGACTCGCTGCTCGCTGCTCGCTGCTAGTTTGACAGACGTTATTTGAGTGCAGTATTTTAGAGTAATCCAGTCTCTCCCTTTTGCCGCAAACATGGCGTCAGGTGGGTGAATGGGCTAAAATTGAAGATTTTCGCCCTGTTTTGTTGAAGCTAGGAGTGTTTCTTCGTTATTGAACTGTGCTTTACCCTTCGCTTTCTTCTTCTAGCATGCTGGAGTTTGTTCTGCCTTTTATTTGTCACTGGTTTATGTGGTGATCCCGTAGCTCCTGGTGCGCCGTAATTGACTCACCATGTGTCGTAATTTGGTTGCGTAATAAGACATTGGCGATTTTTCATTTCTGCATGCCTTTTTTACCCAGACCTAGCCTATAACATCAATTGCATCTTATTATTATTGACCTTAGCTTATGTCACGTGCAGCACTAAATTTGAATCATTAGGCTGTGTAGGTAGGTAGGCATGTAATGTGCATCCGAATTCCTAGGCCACAGGACTGAGCCTCCTTTGTGACTTTGTGACAGCCAAGGCCGCTTATACTGTGGTACGTGAGAGCCCTTACCCCTTGGATGATTGGGATTGAGGTCAAGGTGTGGACAGTGGACACGGCCATAGGCACTGGAACTGGGGGAGGGGCAACGGGGGCAGCGCAGCCTGCCCCCACAACTCTGGGGCTCATTATTGTGTTGTTGCCCCAGCGCTGTCTTGCGACAACGCCTCACCCTCAGGCCAAGGTGGTCGGATTCATGGGCGAATAGCTGACAGTTGGCGAGTTGGGCCCGGCTGGTCGGACACCTTGGTTGGTGTTTGAGGCGGGATTGACTTACCAAACGCTCTGTAGCCTGTCCCATATTCGCTGTTCAAGCAACCGATAACATGTCAGTCATGTCCATGACGTAAGATAAACAGATATTTAGGTATATAAATGACATTTGAGTTTCGCCACCGATGCCTCCCACTGTTATCCCTCGCCCCATTGGGGGGGGGGCCATTTTGGCCCCCCCCCTGTGGTTTTTCCTGAATAGCAAGAAAACGGCGGCGCACAGCGCCGCCAAATTTTCAGTACCTTCCCGGGCATCAATTTGACACCTTCACACCAAATTTCAAGTCTTAGGTCACCTTAGGTCAGGAGTTATTGGGGTCAAACTGAGGTCATGTTCGAGCAAAAATGAGCAAAAAACATGCAATCTTGAAACGCTCACCAAATCTACAGTTATCAAGCAATCTCAAAGTTCTTTATATGGTCTAGTAGACAAAAAGCGGCGCTACAAAACTGCTATCTCGGATTTTCAAAATTTTTGGTTTTTGACCAAAAAAAATTCAAAAATTGATTTTTTTAGAAAAACTTTGAAAAAATCCAAAAATTTTCCGAATTTCGAAAAAACCGGAATATATGTGATAGTCCCAGCGCTCTTCTATATACATACCAAATTTCAGATCGATATCTCGTTTTTTGGCCAGTTATAGCGAAAAAACTTCAAAAATGATGACGTCAAATTTTTTAACTCAATTTTTAGCAATTCTAGACCACGTACGGCAAAACAAAGACCACCATTGAACTCCCCGTGACGAGCTGCATCGATTCGATACCCATTTTATGCAAAAATATTAACTGTGAAATTTGACCTAATTTGACCTGACCTTGACCTGACCTTGACCTGACCTTGACCAAAACGTGATCTAAGCTGGCCCCAAAGGCTGCCTGACCCATATAATCGCATTTTTCATGTAAAATGGACCATAAAACATGTATCACACGACACTTTCATATTGTGACCCCCCCTTGACCTGACCTCTGTGACCTGACCTGGTATCAGTGACCTCAAATAGCAAAATATGTGTTTGAAGAACATTTCCCCATCGATGATTTTCAATGAAATGCATTTTACTCGATTTTACAACGCATTTCTTGAAGTGCCTGTAAACGGTGAAAATTGGACCTTTGACCTGACCTGTGACGTCATCGGTTTGACCTAGGTCAATAAAAATGGGTCACAAGGTAGTTCCCCGTTGGGGCTATCCAACGCCGTTTACCGCTTGTCGCTATGTTGCGTGGTTCTCGAGATCTTAGGGGGGGGGGGCAAAATGCCCCCCCCCCCCCCAACCGGGCGCGTTGCTCGGCAGAGCCCAACGGGGCGCGGGTTATGTTCAAACTCGGGTATAGTTGTCCTTCTCCATAAAGCAGCGTATCTGTTTTTATCTTTGACGAAATGTTGTGAGGAATGCCGAAATAAGCATGGGGATGCTTTCACGAACGACGATGGAATATTACTGAATGACGAAGCATTTATCTAAATCGTCAAAGGTTTTGCTGGAACTCAATGTTATGTGAATTATGCGAATGTCGAATAGCGAATGTTATACCAATTGACGAGCTGTGAAGTGGGATCAGCGTTCCATTTTGCCCACATGCTGAAGGTTTTGCCGGAATGCCTCTGACTGTCGCCACCTATACGCAGATCAGACGAATGGGTTTTGCCGATTGGCCGTCGAACAACGCAAAAAGGTGTATGAAAACCCGGCAGGACGCCTACTGGTTGACCTGACCTGACCCGACCTGACCTGACCCGACCCGACCTGGCCTGGCCTAAATGCACGAGGACACCATCTGTGATCAAAACTAACATGATTTCGTCATCAGCGCCCCGAGAACCTGTTAACAGCCTCACTTCACGAAGTTCTGACAGTTCCCGAATTTCCCGAATTTTGGGTCATTGGACTGACCTGGAAGGTCAATCAATGACCTAGGACCTTAAAATTTGGTATCATCGGCTTCCTCCCGTCACGGGCAACACGCTCATTTTTTTTCGGCGTCGCTCTAGCTTGATCGGGGGCCAAACAGAAGGGGGGGGGGGAGGGATGTTCCGACGGACCCCTTTCCCCTATACGTTCGCGGCTGTCAAAATACCAATTCGGGCGGGGGTTAATACAGCACTGCGTATTGACTCGCGCCGGGCCGGTGCTCCGCGACTTCCGCGCCGGGCCCGGGGGTGGGGGTGGGGGGTGGGGAGGTGTCTGATCAACCCGTCTAACTCGGCTCCTTGGCCACGTAGCGACACGCGGTAAGCGGCATTCGAAAGAGCGTCAAAAATAATGACGAAACACCGGTCATTTTTTGGATCAGGTCAGAGGTCAGGTCACCAGAGGTCATCAAAGGTCAGATTTAGTCCATTTAAACAATTTTGGAAACTGCCAACGGCTAACTCGGGAACCAATAGAGCTACGGTGCCGCGGAAAAGCGCATTCGATAGCCCTTTTACAAGCCTTTCTGAGTATACAAAAATGCCCCCCCCCCCCCCGCCCTCACCGCGTGGAAAGTGGCCGGAAGGCCCACCACCTGCCGGGTTAAAATGGGATATCATCGGCTTCCTCTTGTGACGGGCAACACGCTCGATTTTTTTTTTTTGCGCGAAGCTCTATCTTGATCAGGGGCCGAACGGCTGAAGAAGGAGGGGGAGGGGTCCAACGGACTCCTTCCCTTCCTGTACGCTAGCGGCTGGCAAAACGCCAATATTGGCGATGGCTGATAATCATGCTTTACTGTTCTTCATATACAGCCCTCGTCTCACCGAGTGGTAAGCATTTTTTTTCAACAAATCCGAGACATCGGATTCTTCAGTCGATCGAAACTCATAACAAAGAGACGCGCGATGCTATACTATTTCGATTGAATATCATTTAACAAGTTATACGTCTAGTGTGACAGCAAAAAGACAAAAGTTTTTTTTTTTAGTTTGGGGGCAGGTGCAAACTTTTGCATATTGCTGCCATGCTGGGTGGAAATTGTATATGCGTATGGGCCCAATATAGGGGCGGAGTCCCGCGCGTCGGCGTTCTGCTTTGAGAGTGACCGATAACATAGTCTAAGAGTTATTCTCAGTTTTGTCGAAAAAGGAACGTCAGTGAGCGAAAGGCTGTGCGATGTTTTGTAATTGGTTATGTAATGTACAAAGGTGCTAGTTCACTCGCCATTCTGTTTGTTGCAGCTCCGTCTGGAAAGAAGAAGGGGAGGAAGAAGGGAGTGCCCATCGATCTCAATGTCTTTCTCAGTAACACCAAGGGAACACCAGATGGCAAGGCCATCACCATCACCAAGACCGGCAACAGCTGGGCCGACCAGATGGACTTCGGTATGGCTGCCATGTGCCGCTACTGCCTCACTCAAGAGTCAAACTTGATTTACGCTTCACATCACACCATTTTCGATCAATCTTTTTATGAATTTAATCATGATGGTTGACTCTCTTCAGATCAGTGAACCACTCAACAATCGTGTTAAATTAACGTTTTACGGTGCTTATATATATAGCTGTCTTACGCTGCATCATGTTTCAAAATTTGAAATATTTCATTTGTCAAGAAAGTCACAATATTGCCTTAACCGAAAGGACCAAACGTTTCTTAACCCGCGCGGGGCTGGGGTCTCCAGCCGAACGCGCGGGGCTGGGGGGGGGGGGGTAAATTTTACCCCCCCCTGTTATCTCCCGAACTAATGGTCCGATTTGGAAAATTCAAACGCCAATCGAAAGCTCTCATCACGAACTACTAAAAACATGTACTTAATTTAAAGTTTGAGGTCAAGGTCAAGGTCAGGTCAAGGGTACAAATTGCAAGTTTCTACAGTATCGGCCTTGCACCGTAGTTGCCGAAGAATGGAGTCATGGACTGAGACTGATCGCCCAAAACGTGTTCTTAGGCTACCAAGACAATATTAGTTGCATACAATATCATTCAGAGGTCAAGGTCAAGGTCAGGTCAGGTCAGGTCACCAAAAAACAAAATATAGAAAAGGGCATGTGCGACACATGTTTTATGGGTCATTTTACTCATAGAATTCAATAGGCACACTCAATAAGTGATATGGACCACCTCTGGATGAATTTCAGGTCGAGGTCAGGTCAAGGTCAGGTCAAGTGAGGTCAAATTTTGAAGTTGGTTGTTAAGGCCGAAAAAGGTGTCTATCTGATGCAGTTTTTCACGGCGAATCGAATGGTGCTATTTTTGTTTCCGTACGAGGTCTAGAACTTCCAAAAAAGTCATTTTTTCAAAAAATTTGTGTGTCGTGACGTCATAAAATTTTGAATAACTCCCACATTTTTGAACCGATTCTTCTAAAATTTGGTATGTAGGTGCACATAGGCCACTTCTCTGACATATATTCCGGTTTTTTCGATAGACTCAAATTTTTGGATTTTATAATGATTTTCCCAAAAAAATCAGTTTGTTGAAAAAATTTAGGCCAAAATCCAAAATTTTCAAAAAACCGAGATAGCCATTTGATAGACAAAGTAAAATTACGTATAACCTTTTTTTGTTACGTCTTGATTCCTTTAAAAATGAAGATGTTAGCGGCGTTTGAACTTTTGCCGTTTTTGAGGCGAAAATGGCGAACATGACGTCACTAAAACGTCAATTTCTCAAAATTTTTCCGACGGATTTCGCTCAAATTTTCAGGGAAGGTGTCAAATTGATGTAAGAAAAGGTACTGAAAGTTTGGCGGCGCTGCGCGCCGCCGTTTTTGAGATATCGCAAAAATTCGCGAGGGTGGGGGGTAAAATTTACCCCCCCAGCCCCGCGCGGGTTAAATGTCAAGCTAACAAAGCCACAATGCTTCTCTTTTTTTTTCTTCAAATGCACTCCTTATAAGTGCTTGCTATTGATCAACAATTCCGACATAACCCTATAATCGCCCACCATTTCTGTCGCGGAGCTCACTGACCGTGTGTGTGGTGTGATTTGTGGCGCGGAGCTCACTGACCGTGTGTGTGGTGTGATTTCTGGCGCGGAGCTCCCTGACTGTGTGTGTGGTGTGTGATTTCTGGCGCGGAGCTCCCTGACTGTGTGTGTGGTGTGATTTCTGGCGCGGCGCTCACTGACTGTGTGTGTGGTGTGATTTCTGACGCGGCGCTCCCTGACCGTGTGTGTGGTGTGTGATTTCTGGCGCGGAGCTCACTGACTGTGTGTGTGGTGTGTGATTTCTGTCGCGGAGCTCCCTGACTGTGTGTGTGGTGTGATTTCTGACGCGGCGCTCCCTGACTGTGTGTGTGGTGTGCAGACATGTGCTTGGATCCGGAAAAATGGATCTGAGATCCGATCCCATGGATCCCGATCCGAGATCCATTCAGATCATAGATCCAACCCCTCAATTTTGTCGAGAGATCTACTGGGATCATAGATCTGACCCTTCAATTTTGTCGCTAGATCCACTCGGATCACAGATCTGGCTCCCCAATTTTGTCGTGAGATCCATTGGGATCATAGCTCATAGGTGCTCAAAATGTTAACAACTTTCTTTCATAAGAAGTTATGAATACCAAAGTATGGTTAGAAACAAACAATCTTATACAAAGGACATATTAGTAAAGGCATCCAGTTACATTATACAGAATACAAAATAAAGGAGGCTCATGACGGTCACAACTTGAGAGAATTGAGTGACATGAAGATTGTTCACAGTTCACATACCTACCAACAGAAAAGTTTGCATTAACAATTAACATAGAGGTAAGTCAAAGTAATGACTAATAAACAATACATAACTAGGTACCTACCACATCACAATTCATGTTAGAATCTACATAATGATATTGATAAGACAATCTGGCATTAGACAACCATGAGGCTTTCCAGTTTCCACTTTCCAGCTACCACAATTGATTGATAAACAATAAAAGATGATACTGACACATGTGGCTTGGTTAGGTAAAGGTATTTCAATCTATTGAAAGAAATATTTGATAAAATAAACTGAGATATAAACAAAAGTATAAAAATATTCAACAGCCTGCGGAAGCGATGGGAAGCGAAATATCAATTGTAATGGCCTTGGATATTTACCGTAAAATGATTATTCAGTATCTAAATAGAACTCGTGACGTCATTTCAAATAACAAATGAGCTAGGCGTTCTACCTTCGAGTATAATGAAAATAAATAAAAAATCAAACTGGAAATTCAAAAGTCTGGAGTTTTTTTTTTAAGAATGTTCATTTTTTCTGTCTCACATAATTACGGAGCGAGCGAAGCGAGCGTAGTCTTTCCTTAGATTAACGGAAATTTCTGAGTATGAGCGGCCGGCCGGCCGGCCGGCCGGCCGTGGTCACGCTTTTGCGAGGCTTATATCTCAGCAACCACTTGACCGATTTACACGCGGTAATTTTTGTAGGGTAGCTTCATTCCTTCTACCAAGTATTGGACTATTCCCGATGCATGTGGGTGGCCCCTTATGCGCGTGCCACGTGCAAAACGAAGAGGTGTCAGTTTTGTAATTGTTGCAATATCTGGGTAACTACTTGGCCGATTGCGCTGAAAGTTGGCATGTAGGTAGGCACCCACTAGGCACTGCATATACATGTGCCAGAGTTGGGATGCTGCTGCACGTGCGCACGTGCAGGGGTCGTTTCCAGATCTCGGGAACGGCTGGACCGATTGCACTCAAATTTGGTACACGGTTAGGGACCGGTTAGTAGGGTGCCGTGCAAAAGTCAGTTGGGACCCATTTTGCACGTGCGCACGTGCAGGGTGCCGCTTCCAGATCTCGAGAACGGCTGGGCCGATTGTGCCCAAATTTGGCACATCGCTAGAGACCAGTTAGTAGGGTGCCGTGCACAAGTCAGTTGGAGGTACCCCTCGCAATTTCGCACGTGCAAGGCCCACCCTCTCGCTCGCTCCGTTAGTCGCCCCAAAAGGCGTTATACTGGTTACGGAGCGAGCGAAGCGAGCGTAGTCTTTCCTTAGATTAACGGAAATTTCTGAGTATGAGCGGCCGGCCGGCCGGCCGGCCGGCCGGCCGTGGTCACACTTTTGCGAGGCTTATATCTCAGCAACCACTTGACCGATTTACATGCGGTAATTTTTGTAGGGTAGCTTCATTCCTTCTACCAAGTATTGCACTATTCCCGATGCATGTGGGTGACCCCTTATGCACGTGCCACGTGCAAAACCAAGAGGTGTCACTTTTGTAATTGTTGCAATATCTCGGTAACTACTTGGCCGATTGCGCTGAAAGTTGGCATGTAGGTAGGCACCCACTATGCAATGCATATCCATGTGCCAGAGTTCAGGTGCTGCTGCACGTGCGCACGTGCAGGGGTCGATTTCAGATCTCGAGAACGGCTGGACCGATGGCGCTCAAATTTGGTACATGGTTAGGGACCGGTTAGTAGGGTGCCGTGCAAAAGTCAGTTGGGACCCATTTTGCACGTGCGCACGTGCAGGGTGCCGCTTCCAGATCTCGAGAACGGCTGGGCCGATTGTGCTCAAATTTGGCACATCGCTAGAGACCGGCTAGTAGGGTGCCGTGCACAACTCAGTTGGAGGTACCCCCTCGTAATTTCGCACGTGCAAGGCTCACCCTCTCGCTCGCTCCGTTAGTCGCCCCAAAAGGCGTTATACTGGTTTTACGATACGATTGTTTGTGAATATCATCTTTGTAGCGTTGAATTTAATGACGTAAACGTAAGCTGAAACGGTATTATATGGCCCAGAGCGGTGTGCGCCTTCCATCTTTGTTTTATTCATTTTCAAAAGAATAACAATATCTTACGTCATTAGTTTAAAGGGCTTATTACGGGGAATCTTTTGGAATCATTACGGTTTTGGTCAATTTAAGATTTTTCATTGGTCAAACGATAATGACGTAATAAAACCATATTACCAAAACGTGAGCTGTGAATTTCGTTTGTCTTTTTTTGGGGGGGCTCTCTCATAACAAGCATGGCACACCACACGTGGCACGTTGCCAAAATTAGGTAATCTGAAGAAGTTGATGCCATTTTTGAACTTGTAATTTTATTAGGAAAGTATTAGAGGTTGGTTGCTATCCTTACTAAATCGAAATTGTGTTGCACATACTAATAGCTCATACGAACATTCTGGATTGGGATTTCATACCTGGCAGAAGTGGATTGCTGCATGTTTTTAACAAAACTGACCTATTTGGCTTCCAGGTTTGATTCCCTAACATCTGTCCATAGGCGGCAGAACAGGGGGGGGGGGGTGGCACCAGGGTACAGTGCCCCCCATAGATTTTGGCATTTTAACATTAGCCTTACTGGTGTTGCATGGAAAGAATGGGACCAAAATGAAAATCTGCAGTGCCCTGCTGCCACTGCATCTGTCTGTACTGCTTGTTCATTGAATTAAAGTGGCTGTAGCTTGTTGATAAGATTGTCATCAGTGCTGTCATGAAAAAGTTACAATTGGTCACAAAAAGTAGCAATATGCATGTTCTTGGTTTATTTTAAATGTAGTACAAATGTTGTTTATTTAAATTCAAATTTAATGATGATACCTAATGATTACAAGTGGTCTTAACCAATAACCATGTCCACAAGTGATAATTCTCAATTGTATTGCACTGCAAGGTGTACACTTATGTAGGATAAGGGTTTCATTGGCTACATGTTGTCGTGAGATCCATACAGATCATAGGTCCTCCACAAATTTTTGCCCGCTGGATCCACAGAGATCATAGATCCGACCCCTAAATTTTGTCGAGAGATCCATTCGGATCATAGATCCAATCCCTGAATTTTGTCGAGAGATCCACCCGGATCATAGATCCAACCCCTCTATTTTGTCGAGAGATCCACTGAGATCATAGATCCAGCTCTCGGATCCAAGCACATGTCTGGTGGTGTGATTTCTGGCGCGGAGCTCACTGACTGTGTGTGTGGTGTGTGATTTCTGACGCGGAGCTCCCTGACTGTGTGTGTGGTGTGATTTCTGACGCGGAGCTCCCTGACTGTGTGTGTGGTGTGATTTCTGACGCGGAGCTCCCTGACTGTGTGTGTGGTGTGATTTCTGACGCGGCGCTCGCTGACATTGTGTGTGGTGTGTGCAGAGGCCGAGGAGAAGACGGTGGTGCTGCCGACGGCGCCCTCCAGCGTGCGCTGCGGTCTGAACGTGGACCTCGACCGGGTGCCCATGACGGGGCCGTTCAAGCTGTTCATCGCCAACGTGTCCTACGACGCCAACGAGGAGATGGTGGCCAGCATGTTCCAGGGTCTGGACGTACGTAACGGGTGGGAGGGCGTACTCTGCCCTCCGCGGGTGGCTGGTGCGCGGCACTAGCGGTCTAAAGATGAGGGTTACAGTACTCAGTGGTTTCATTGGGTGCGACCTGAATTGAATGCCCCCAGTTGTCAGCTGTCATTCTCGGACGTAGTGCACCCACTCGTGTGGGGTGGGATAGGGAGGGAGGTGGAGGGTATTCTCGGCATATTCTAAACTACTGGTCGATAAAACACTTATCATCGATACCTCTCGTGGCACATCCGGTGCCGGCTTGCTCATTTAATCTGGATACTTCTCGTTGAATTGCTGAGTCTCGTTTATTGTAGTTTCCCCTGATTTTGCCCATTTGACCCCAATAGTTATAAATAGGTGGCGTGCGTATGTCGCTGTCCGGTCCAACGCGAAACTCTGACCCCTCCATCCGTCCCAGCACGACTCTCTGAACTCGGGCTCTGCCCGTGTCTCTGACCCCTCTCCCGGTCCTCGGCTCTCTGACTCCTCTTCCCCCATGTCTGTCGGCTCTCTGACCCCTCTCCCCGTTCCGGCGCGGATCTGACCCTCTCTCTCCGTCCCCGCGCGGCTCTCTGACCCCTCTCCCCGTCTCCGGCTCGCTGACCCCTCTCCCCCGTCCCCGCGCGGTCCTCTGACCCTCTCCCCGTCCCTGCACGGTCCTCTGACCCCTCTCCTCGTCCCCGCGCGGCTCTCTGACCCCCTCTCCCCCCGTCCCTGCGCGGTCCTCTGACCCCCTTCCCGTCTCCATGTCTTCAGGTGCGGAACGTCAGTCTGCCGTGCGACGACAGCGGCCGATTCCGAGGGTTCGGCTACGTCGAGTTCGGCAACCGTGACGATCTGATCGAGGCGCTGCACATGGACGACCTGGTGGGTGCCGCCGGAGTGGGGTGGGAAACGGGCGGGCTGTGGGATCTTTCAGCGTAGAGGAGATTTATAATTTATTGTTCTTAATGCTGGAGCAGGGCCTCGTGAAATACTGAAGTATACTACCAAGGATGGTTTTGAAGAGCGGGCGTGGTTCAGTTATCAAATTACAAGACATTTGTGGATTTGGCGTTGACGAAGAACGGTTGTCTTAATTGTTGGGGTCTTCTGATGGGTATTCTGTTGGGTCTTGTTCGAACTTCCAGCTTTGTATTTTCGAGACTTTTATTAGCATTCTAAACACGAGAGCTGTCCATTCCGAGCGACTGACGTCCCTGTGCGCCCGCTGTGCCGCTGGCAGGAGGTGGCTGGCAGGAAGCTGCGTATCGACCTGAAGACGCCCAGCGAGCGAGACCAGCAGCAGCAGTCGCGCGGCTACTCGTCGTTCGGCCGCGACGAGGACCGCGACCGCGCCGAGGACGACGGCGACTGGCGAGCGGGACCGCGCGCAGCGCCGGCGCGCACCAACAGTGACTGGCGCTCGGGTCCGCCCGGCGGCGGCGACCGGCCCGACCGCAGCGGCGGCGACAGCGACTGGCGCGGAGGACCGCGCGGCGGCGGCGGCGGCGGCTCCGGTCAGTGCGGCGGACAGACGCGGCACGGGAGTGGCGGGGGGGGGGGGGGTGAACGCCGGTCTATTAGAATGCGATGGACGCCTGGCTGAGGTGGGATAGGAAGGGGGTGGATAGTGGGAAAAAGAACAAGCCATACAAGCCGTACTTCAAGACAGCACATAGATGGCGGAAAACGCTGAAAGTGCGGTTAGCCTTTTTCAGTTAGTTGCTTTTCCCATCCGACCGGCTATGCCTGATAATGGCTGGCACGTTCGAACAGTCTACACATTCGGCCATTCATGTTGACTAACACCGCGCATACTCCCTGTCCCTGGCCCTCGCCTGCTGGGCCGTCAGTCTGATGAGCGCTTACTCCTATGTATGAAAGCACGCTTTGCGCCGAGTAGTCCCAACTAACCCGTGTTTCTCTGTTCTTTCCGCAGACTTCGGTGGTGGTTACGGTCGTGGTAAGTACGGGGCTCTCTGCAAAGGGAGAGGGTGAGGGGAGGGGCAGTGGCTCCGCCCCGAGACCGTCGTACGGCCCGGGCCGGACTTTGACCCGGCTCTGGTCGGGAGACTGAGCATTGGACTGTTTTTGTAGTGCGGCGAGCGACGCCCGGCTTGCGTCAAGATGCGTGCGCCGTGCAGTCATCATTATATTTGCTCTTCATCCAAACTAGCTGCCTTAGTATCAATGTTAACGCATCTGGATACTGTACAGTGCATTATGCATTCCTTTTCTTGCTCTGATAAAGTACTCGTGTTTTGATGGAAATGCAGGATACAGTTTTGCGGTCTGGAACCCTGACCACGGATACGTGCTATGGCTGTAATGGAAATTCATGTTTCGTAGTGCAGCTGCTGCAACAATCGTCTGGAGAGAGTCGACTAGGAAGCTGGTCCAGTTTTGACATTTTCTCATGCTTTCACGACGTACACATGCAAGTGTATGGCTGTAGTTATGTCTGAGCGCTGTGGGACACGCCATTTATCGCACATCTTGGCGCGTCCCACGCTGTTCACCATCAGCCTACCATTGTGTGAAGGCTGTGGGCTGTCACTTGCGTGCCGTGTTCGCCCGCCCTCACCCCTGCTGGCTGTGTGTGAAGGCTGTGGGCTGGCCACCCGCGTGCCGTGTTCGCCCGCCCTCTAACCCCTGCTGGCCGTGGGTGGATCTGTAAACTGCTGCCCTCGTGCCGCGCTCGCCCGCCCTCTCACCCCTGCTCGCCGTGGGCGAAGCTGTAAACTGCCACCCTTGCGCCGTGTTCGTCCGCCCTCTCACCCCCGCTCGGCGTCCCCAGACCGTGAGCGTGAGCCGACGATGGCCAGCAAGCCGGGCAGCAAGTACGAGGCGGTGCCGTCCTTCAACGACTACCGGGGCGGCGGAGGTGAGTCGGGCGCTGCCGTGTCAGAGCCAATGGGCGATAACCGTCGCTGGGTGGCTGAGCAGGCTGAGTAGGCCACGTAGATGATTTGTAAGCTGCGTAGAGATTCTACTCGGGATTCTTTGTAATCGAAAAGGATACCTAGTTTTGGTCAGGTTTGAGGACTGATCGCAAAGGCTATTATAGCATATTTGAAGCGTTTCTTCCTGTATTCTTGGTAGGATCTCTGTTATATCTCGATGGTTGCGATACAACATTTTCGGCCGATAACTTTGGATCATGCTTAGAGTGCGTTGCATTTTTGCATTATGCATTGTGCTTAGAGTAAAGTATTTCCGAGCAAAATTAGCCAATCCTCTTCCATTCCCTGTCCAGGCGGCTACGGCTCGGACCGAAGAAGCGACGACCGGTATGGCGGCCGTGACGACCGGTTCGGGGGTCGTGACGATCGGTACGGCGGTCGTGACGATCGGTACGGCGGTCGTGACGACCGGTATGGTGATAGAGGTATGTGTATAAGCAGATGTGACGTGCTCTATACATGTTATCACTGGTGTAAGGGGCCTTTGGTGCCGGCTATCGGTGATTGGCTCTGCCGTCGAGTTTCCCAGGAATACATTATCCTTGTGTTGGGTAGGCGCAAAGTCCCCTACAGTTATAGAAAATACTTTTAAATCTCATCGAGTTGCTTGCAAATGGTGGCTATACTTTTTTGGAGACCGCATCATTTTGTGATCGACATAATTGTCCTAGTTAGCGTACCTATTCTCTTTCACGAGTCACTGTGCCATTTTCGGCTACCTTGTGTCGCTATCGGCAGCACGACATACCCTCCTTGTCAGCAGTAGTTGATTGTGTCCACATTTCAGTTCTTCCCTCAACGGAGATTCGCTCGATTCATGGCGAATCATTGTGAGCGCTCGTGCGGCCGACAGCGCGCCGGGTGTAAGTGCGCGCCGACCTCTGAGGCTGCCCGGTGTGTCTCGCCACTGACTGGTGCTTAACGTAATCTGTTGCGCAGGTCGCGGCTATGGCGGTGGTGGTTATGGGTATGACAGGCGCGGCGACGTGCGGGGGTATGACTCCCGGTACGACCGTGGGTATGGCGACAGAGGTATGCACGGGTGGTCCGAACAGCCACAGGCGGTCTGTGGCCGCCGCTGTGTACTGATAGAGCAGCGGCCGGCCTGTGGCGTCTCTGTCACATCAGACGGCCCCGGCGGCTGTGTTACAGTTCGTCAGTGAGTGGGTGCTCAGTAGTCAGCGCCGTTCAACTGTTTCTGACCGTGTCGGAGTTAGTGGCCGCTGCAGCCGCGGCTGGCCTGCACTTGTGATCGTCTGTCGTGTGTCTGACCTCCCGCCTGTGTTCTGTGTCTGACCTGTGTCTATCTGTGTTCTGTGTCGCCTCAGACCGTGGCGGAGGCGGCGGCGGATTCGACAGGCGGGATGACCGGTACGGCGACAGAGGTGAGCACGGCAACCCGAGCAGTGCAGGTCGCACCGCGGGCACTTACTGGCTGGGTTATAACTAACTTCACTCTTATATTTCTGTCTTTGAGGTCACGCCTTTCTCTCGGTGCAATTTATATTACGTTCCGTTTGAAAACCGTACTGCCGAGGCTCCCGTAAACAAAGGAGCAAAAATCTGTTTTGTTTATTATCGTTGTCAGCGACTTAAATCCGTGTTCTTTCTTGTCAAATACAGATGTGGTCTGCAATATGTTGTGGATGTTGGGTTCCTGGGAGTCGTGACTGATTTCTGTTTTCTCTGCGTTTCAGGTCGTGACGACAGGTAAGTTCACCTTCCTCGCTGCATCTGGGAGAAAAGAATTTGTCGCCAGTACCTTACCTTTTTTCAGTTGATAATAAATTACATTTAATGCGTAGTAGGCCGTCAAACCGTCTTTTACAGACCCTCTACTTTGTGGTATGTAACAAATACTGTGCTTTCCTTTTTTGTTGGCCTTTCGTGTATCAGCGATTCATTCATTGAAAATTCGCTGAATATGAGACTATTTACTTCTCTAATTTATGTTGGCTTTTGTTTCGTATCGAGCTGTTTAAAATATTACCGGAGCTTAGAATATGCGGCGGGGGTGATTTTTGTTTATAAGAGGCCTTTCACAATGTCTAGTTGCAGTTGTCCGCCAAATCTTGCGCACTGCGTCAGGCTCTCTCGACAGTCCTGCCTGCTTTTAGGTACGGCGGATCGCGCTTCGGTTCACGGGACGGTCCCCGTTACGACTCACGAGATGGCCCGCGTTACGACTCACGGGACGGACCGCGAGACGGACCGCGTTACGACTCGAGGGATGGACCTCGAGACGGTCCGCGTTACGACTCGAGGGATGGACCACGTTACGACTCACGCGATGGTCCCCGGGACGGACCGCGCTACGACGACCGGCCGCCGGCCGAGTCGGACCGGCCGCCGGCCGAGCGGCCCAAGCTGAACCTGAAGCCGCGCTCGGTGCCCTCGGACGACATCGGCAAGCCGGCCGCCTCCAGCAGCATCTTCGGCGGCGCCAAGCCGGTGGACACGACGGCGCGCGAGCGGGAGGTCGAGGAGCGCCTCAAGGCGACACGCATCGACGACCGTCCGGCGCGGCCGACGGAGCCGGCCTCGGGCTCCCAGCGGCGCGCCGAGGCCTCGCGAGACATCCGGCTCAGCGAGCCGGCGCGCGGCAAGGACAGTCAGGTAACGTCACTGCGGCAGACAGACCAGTAATAGCCGGGTAACGCCGGCGCGCGGCAAGGACAGTCAGGTAACGTCACCGCGGCTGACAGACGGGTAACAGCCGGGTAACGCCGTCCGCGACAGGGGCAGCCGGGTAACGCCGTTTGCGGCAGGGGCAGCCGGGTAACGCCGTTTGCGGCAGACAGGCTCGGAGCTGGGGTGGATGGGCTGGAAGTACTGATTGTTTAGTAAATGACATTGGGTTTTGCATGAGTTTGTTCTGTAAAATTTCTGCTCGTGAATGGAAGCTTGTCGAGGCGACTGGCCCCCATGTAAGGGAGAGTATCTTGTGACCGACTATCCCGTACACGCGTGTCCCGTGCCCGTACAGTTGACGTGATCTGATCTTTGTTCCAGAAGCCGGCGGATAGTGCCGGCTCGAGGGAGACAAATGGAAAGGCGGCCGACGGCGCAGAAAAGTACGCACCGAATACAGTTACGACGTGCTTTTCGTTTACGAACATTATTCAGTGTGTTTTCATTCAAAGCTCATATGAGCAACTGTTTTGCGCAACCGCGCGTCTGTTTTTATTGAAGCCATATGGCGGTCCTGTGTTAGCTCAATTGTGCCTTGGGTACAGAACATATTATGTTATCCCGCTAGTCAGCCGTGCCCCGTTCCCCGTGTGATAATACCGCCCCACTCACTCAGCCCCTGTTCACCACAGGAAGGAGCGGGCGCCGCGGCCTCCCAAAACGTTGGAGGACAAGCCGGCCGTGTTCGTCGAGCAGAGCCGGTTCAGCGCACTGGCAGAGGACGAGGAGGCTTAGACGCGGCGGCACCGCATATAGCCGCCCCAGCAGAGCGCCACAGTACGCGCACGACACGACCGGCCGGCGGGCCGCAGCAGGCCGCCCAGCCCGACACGGAGCCGGACGGCGGCCCATTCCGGTCCCGGCGGCCACAGCCGGCCCCGGGCCACCCGGCGGCGGCGGCCCGAGCAGTCGCTCGCGGCGGCCGGGAAGACGACGCAACACTAGGGGACGAAGGAGGGAGCGGCGGGAGGACGACCGGGCCCGCCCAGTGCCGGCGGCGCGACAAACCGCCGGCAGACGGGCGCCGGGCCGCAATCATTATCCAAATTGGTAGTCGGATAAAGGGTACTTTTGTATTCTTATGTCATTTGGCAAATATATGTAACAACCGTGTGGCACTTGTGTTATTTGGAGGTGTTCGACAAATTCGCTCTTGAAACCCTTCGGGTGAAGACGGAAAGAACGAGTCGTTCCTAGGTGTGTGGGATGCCAGTGTCCAATGGTTAATGCTAAGCAGTGGAATATTCAAAACGCAAGCTACCATGCACACGTCGGTTTATTTCATAACAATTACCATCCACTGCATTGAAGCGGGCCGGTTGCTAGATTGGACCTTGAGCCAATACGAGGAGCCAATACAACCGGCATGGGAGTAAGCCGCCAACCGCGTATAAAACTAGGAAAGCCTTTGGGGTACCACACATTAGCCAGCGAGATAACTAAACAGGAGCAGCTGGGCGTCATTGCACGGGGTCGGTCCCGACACGCGGCTCGGACAGCGCCCGGCCGCCGCCGCCGCGCCGGTCCCTCCCTCAGTCTGTGCCGAAGTAGCGCTGGCCGAAGTGGTTGGGCGTCACCTCGTTCATCTCAGAGGTGAGGATGCGCAGGCGCGGGAACGAGCTGGTGACCAGCCGGGCCGCCACCGGTGTGCAGAACAGCGTCAGCAGAATCACGTTCTGCTCCTGGATGCCGTGCTCGCGCATCACGTGCAGCGCGCGTACGATCGTGTTGCCCGTGTTCATGATGGGGTACATGAGCAGCACCTTGCGCTCGGCCACGTCCTCGGGGAACTTGGCGTACACGACGCGCGCCTCGTGCGTGTCCAGGTCGGACGAGACCAGGATCTTTCCGATGCGGATGGAGCGGCAGCAGTCGCGCAGGCCCTGCTCCATGGCCTCGCCGCTGCGCACGATGCTGACGCCGCAGTTGCCGCGCTGGTAGCGCAGGCCCGGGTACTGGTGGCCGGTGGGCGTGGTGACGGTGGCCGGCGTGTACGGCAGCAGGTTCAGGCCCTCCTCCACCACCAGCCGGATCAGACGGTCCGCGTAAAACTTGAAGTCGCTGCGGGTGGTGTTCCGGTCGCGGATGATGGTCTGCAGCTCGCGCACGTGCTTCTTGGGCGGGATCACCGTCAGGTTGTCGCTGATGGGCGGCGCGGGCAGCGGCGGCGCCGGCGGCGGCGGCCGCGGCGGTGTGGCCGCCGCCGCCGGCTTACCGTCCTCGCCGTCCGTCCGCGTCATGTCGGCAGCGGCCGACACCTCGGCGGCCGGAGGCGGGCCGCTCAGTCGTGCTCCGTGCCGGCGGGGACGGCGGCGCCGTCCGCGTCCCGCTGCCGCTTCAGCAGCTTCTCGAGGTCGTGCTGCTTGCCGAGCAGGGCGAGGTTCTCCACCTTGCGCCGCTGCTGCCGCTCCACGTCCTTGATCACACCCTCGTGCAGACGCTCCCTGGTGGCACACCACACAGTTAAAGCAGCCAGTCAGGGAATCACACGAAATGAGACAGTGGTGCAAATATTATGCTGTAACCTGCAAGTCATCACTCTGAGGGGGCACAGTCATGTAAACAGCATCAGTTGACACAATAGGGAATTTAACTGAAGGCCTTATTGTCAGCCAGCTAGCACCTATACCGAACGATATAATCATAAGGAACACAGGACAGCACATTGCTCCCTTTACAGCCCTTTGCATGCCATTCAAAGCCGCACAATATGGTACATTGGCTTGCAAAAAGAAGACTTACTTATCATTACCTGTCAATATTCTGTTTGATATGGACGTATCCAATGATGCCAGCAGACACTCCACACGATGTGGCTAGAAATATTTTAGATGCCAAGGACATAGCATTCCATCATTTGTATTACTTCTGCAAGACAGACAGAAACCTGTGTCAATTCCTATAGCAAAATCAACATGTTCTACTAAGCCTCTAGGAAATTAAATGATACACCAGAATATTTAAAGTTAATGTGCTTTCAACATGAACAATGTTACTGCTTGAATACGTGGGTCAACTCATTGGTCAATGATCCTCGCAGTTAACGACTGATGACAAGACATTTTCACTGATATACCATAAAATAATTATTTTAATGAAGCTTAGTTCTGCAAAACCTTGATTGAGCTGATTATGACTCTAATACCAATACATGCAAAATTATCTTCAAAATCTCTAATCAAAACAAAAAATTGAAATGAGTAAATCAACTGAGATCCAGGACCAGATGACATGTTGATGTTATCCACAGTGTAAGACAGGAAAGCGCATCACCCCAAAGTCACGCAGCACGGGTTTGCGGTAGTCAAGGAGTCAAGGTGAGAGTCAGTGAGAGTGAGCATCTGATATATTAATGTCGTCGTCTATTGCTACTGCATAATACAGAAAGATGGAATCTTGGATGGAATGACGATCTAACCCTTTCCGGACTCGCCGTGCATCGAAAATGAACTGCACCTTGACCTTGCTGCACACAGAAAGGTACAAACAAGGCCCTAAATACAGGTACAAAGAAAGAAATGTATGATGTGCGCCATTACTGTAGCAGAAGACAGAATCAGCGTTAATTTACTGCCATCGTTTGAAATCAGTGGTTTATAAGAACACTTACCTTCTAACACGCTTATCCCTCCAAACCCAGTTGAGGTTATCGTTTGGTTATGGAGTTATTATGTTTATAGCTGCGTCACCATGCATATGCATCACGGTGACATGACCATTGTGAGCGACACTTGGTAAAACCACGGTGTATATAAATAGGTAAAACGAAGTTGGGCGCGAGACCAGAGCCTGGGGCTGAAGCCCACCTACGTAACCTATGATCATTTTGTGGGATGTCTCCTGGCTATTGAACTCTGCTCACCTGCAATCGCAGCTCACGGGTAGGCCGTCCGGTATATGAAAGGCACGTAAGCTTCTGAAGCTCTTTTTCTCTGTTGTTTACCACAGCGCCCTGGCACTCTAGGAATCTTGCTCTAGCCTACAAGTTGACACCTTTTTCCTAAACGGTACATACTCACGGAACAAACAAATATATTTTAGACCGTCGGCAGACAGCGGAGAACATCCATCATAAACGTAGATTCGCCAATGAAGTCAGTCTGACAATTATTGGAATATAACTTTGCAACATTTAGAATGCATCGCATATACATCCAACGCCGAATTCGAAATAGGTATAAGCGGAACAGGAGCAAACCCCCTACCCGCCTTTCACAGAGCACAACTCGCACCATGGGTAAGTGGAGTGACACAAGTAGCAGCAATGACACGAACGCAGCTGCGCCCCAGTCGGCACAGCTCGGCGACTGTAGGGCAGCAGGCAATACAGCACACATAACACAGCTTATATCCTCTGGTGACCTACACCCAACGCACCGCCCGCACTGCCCCGCGCCCAACGCCGACATTACGGCAAGCAAAGCAGGAGCGACAGTGAAAACCCGACCCAGCGCAACTCCACTCTGGCGTCACCATAAATATCAACACGTGTTCATAGCAAGTTCTCAGTTCTTGATGGCTCAGATTCTTGCAAAACTAGCTCCGGGTTAGACCCATTGATATGCGAGAGCTTCACACTCGCCATGTTCCCAAATCACAGCTCCGTTATTTTATATGCAAACGCGCTGAAATATATGTCATGACATGATCGCGAATCCCTATGACGTCCGCACTCACAATAGTAAAATAGCGATTTACCTTAATTATTAAAGGATGGTAATTTTCTCAGCACTAAAAACCGGTCATTTTGTGGTACTTTCGGCAAAACTAGGCATTTCCAGTTAATTTGAGGTATAACAGGGTCATTTAGCACCTAACCAGTTATAACACCTATTTAAGGGACTTTAGCACTGCTTTCAGTCTAATTCGCAGTACTTTTAGTTTGAATGGCACCTAATGGTAGTCATTTCGCACTATTTTTGGTAGATGTTTAGGCATCCCTACTAAATCTAGAATGATTTTAGTATATTATGGAGAAATAAACTACAATACTAGTCTGTACTAGCTACAGATTGTTTGTTGCCAGGTCGATTAGCGTCTGTTTCGGCGCATGCGTTTTGAGAGGACCGATAGGACGCAAGGCGCGCTTCTTGGACGGATTTGGCAAGGAATTTGGATAGATTGATTTACGTACGGCCTCAGCGTGTGCCGATCATCCTGCCTTTTCTTGTCCAAGAGTGAACTGAGCGAGGTTCTTAGCATGGAGTGATGACGATTTCCGCGAGGATGCCAGGTCGATTAGCGTCTGTTTCGGCGCATGCGTTTTGAGAGGGCCGATAGGACGCAAGGCGCGCTTCTTGGACGGATTTGGCAAGGAATTTGGATAGATTGATTTACGTACGGCCTCAGCGTGTGCCGATCATCCTGCCTTTTCTTGTCCAAGAGTGAACTGAGCCTACCGTCCGCCCAAGCGTACTGGTCCGCCGACCGCCAGTGCTGCTGTCTTTATTCTGTCAGGTTATCTAACGGCGCTATGGGCATGTAGGTACAGCATTGCAGTAGCAAATGCTTAATCTAAATGTGCGGTGGCATTTTCCCATGCTTAGTAGGAAGCGCTCGACGTCCCTTCCGTACGTGTCGTGGAAGGGACGTGTCTGACTGTTATTGACGCACATCAACTAGATGGATCTTGATTGTAGCATTTCGCAGCAGCGTTTCGTCGTTCAGCGGCGTAACGCCTAGCCAGCTCTCGTTTCGAGGGGGTGGTACTTTGCTGAGGAGCATGAGTGGTCACGCTGCATCGTGAGCCAGATGAAGCCGGAGGGCAGACCGTGTACCGTACATTTGCGTACATGATTTTGTCCCACGAACCTAAGCGATGCGCATTTTTGTCCACAAATTTACCTAATGTATACCCAGCATGCCTATTAGTCGTTAGGGGGCAGCACCGGGCGTGGTGTATTGCGTAGAGGGCAGGACCAAGGCCCTAAATACAGGCAGGACCTATGCCACGAAACTTGCTCCAATTCCGTTTTCATCGTGGAAGTAATACGCTGAATGGAGGATCATACTTTGATGTCCAACTTACGTACCTACAACATAAAAAAAATAAATACCTCAAGGCTCAAGAATACTGTGATCATAGCAGTAGCTCGTGCTCGGCAGTGAAATCATGAATAGTGCTCATATACCGGATTTAGTGCAAAATGAGCTACCACACACCCATTTATTATGCCAGATCTGGCATCGCCTCTATACTAACTAAAATAGTGCGGAATGACCGGATATACCTGTGTTTGACAGGAATTGCCTGCGAAAAGACGATAGTGCAAACTGAACTTATGATAGTGCAAAATAACTGAAATTTAGGTACTGAAAAAATTATCCCCCATTATTAAATCACCGCCCAACTGGGTGCTGGCAGTGCCACATTCTAGAGCGATATTCTACATGAACAATAATGGCAAGTGGTCGTTCTTAAAGGAAAAGGGCCACCTTTAACATGGGGATTGAAACTGAGATAGCCATCTTGTAGCCCGTGTCCGAAAACCTAATTGTCTACCTCCTTACGGCCGATTTCGGCCTCCATTCGTAGTTATCGGCAATTTTAAAAGAAAATACGCCAGGAATGCGTCCTTATCCCAGGAATGCGTTCTTATCCGACAATACAGCCACCCGCGGCGAGGCTTTGGTTTTTTACCAATCAGCTCCAACCAGCTCAGCTTTAACCAATCAGCTTATCTGACACAATCCGACGAGTCTGTCTTCTGAACGCTGATTGGCTTGAGTGTGACGTCATCGCTATGCCATCATACAGTAGGTGCCGTAGAGAGTATCAACATAGTACCAATATGTTAAATATTTGTAAATACTTTTTCGCGAATTGTGCACTTCTGGCACCAGTTTTAAAAAGAAAATGAAAAATAATAATGTCAAAATGAAAAACAACGATATTTTCATATTTCACGAAGGTGGCCCTTTTCCTTTAACAACTAAAGACGCTAACTTTGAGGTCCGTCTATATCGAGACTAGTCTGGCCCAGAGAGCCTTTTTAACACCATGTGAAACCTAACTGAGGGCTCAGTAGTGACTCCTTTCTGCATGTATCACCTTACACGCAATCAGCTAATTTCATGGCTTGTGAACAGAACTATTCAACTCAAGTCATGGTTGAAAGCGATATCGCATCAACTATCCCGGACGACAAAAGCCCTTACTCCCTAGCTGTTACTGCACGCGGGCCTATACACTGACCATCGGCTGCAGCGATCTGTCCTCTGATCTGTCCCGACGAACCCACTCCTTTACTTCACCCGCGGCCTCATTCCGTCGCGCCGCTCCAGTGCTCTCTCCTGCGCGTCTCCCGCGCTCTCTCCATCGCGTTCCGGCCCCGGCGCGGTCTCCACCCTCTTCAGGTGGAAGTCGACCCGGTGGTAGGCGTTGGGCGTCCTACACCCTCTTCAGGTGGACGTCGACCCGGTGGTAGGCGTTGCTGAGCACGCCGCGCAGGTTCCAGATGTTTTTGAACGTCTCCGGCTGGGTGTTGTAGCTGGCGTCGGTGGCTTTCACCCAGAGCTGGGCTGCTGTGGCGCCGGGCGGCACGGGCACCCGGCCCTGCCACAGACACCAGGACCAGCAGCGGCCGGCCGGCGCCGCCTCCTCCACCGTCAGCGCCATGTCGTGCCACGTGGCGCCGCCGTCGGCCGTCACGTCGACGCGCACGATCCGCTGGCCGCCGCCGCTCCACGCGTAGCCTGACGAGACGGGGGGGGGGGGGGGGTCAGCGCTGGGACGAGGACGAGGCATTCCACCAGAGTCCAAATAATTCAACCTTTTGTTCCGGCGTTTAGACGAATAATAAAATCGCCGGCGACAATAAAATAAGCACGCACGCTTAAACATTGGTTTGGTAAGGAGCCTTTGTTGCAGGTTACACATCCATTATATTCTCTCACAAAAGAAGCATGCTGCATACCATTTAATTCAACTGACTCACAAACACTCACATGCTATGCCTGCATCCCCACTCCCGGCAGTCTGCCGATATGTCAGCCCGGACTCACCCTTGACGTGCACGTGTCCGTCCTTGACCTTGACGGTGTGTCCGGGCGCTGGCCAGCAGATGGCCGAGTTGACGGGCAGCTCCTGGATGGCCGGCGACTTGCTGAAGTCGACCGTGTCCCAGTCGACGGACGGGTTGAAGCCCTTGTAGTCGCTGTGCTGCCAGTGCGAGTCGGACTCGGTGTCCGAGACCGTGATCCGACCTGCCGGAGGCGCGGCGGGTCGCGTCAGGTCAGGTCACACTGATCAACTTGGTCATAAATATCACCGGCAATAAGGGACACCTTTATAGTTGGGTGATTGGGTGACTGCAGTGTTAACTTCAATTCTCATTCGTTCTTCCCATTATTGAACAGCATCCCAGCCATTCATCCTCAAAGCATACTGAACGAGAACTGAAATGCATTTATAAGAGCTGCAGCGGGTTTCTTCATTCTAATCTCAAGATCGTTCTTCAATCTAGGCCATACTATCTCAGACGCTTGCAATGTGGCTCTCCCACCTGCCCACCATACAAATCCTATATGCGCGTTCCAAATACCCCTCCAGCCTCCGCACCGCGTGCTCCTCCCGAGTTCCACCGAGTGCCCCTCCCAGTTTCGCTCCACGTGTCCGTCCCTGCCACACACACACCACCGCCACGTACCGAGCCATTTGACGTTCCTGGCGCCGACCACGCCCGGCACGATGACCCTGACGGGCGCGCCGTGGTCCCGGCTCAGGGGCTGGCCGTTCATCTCGTAGGCCAGGATGACGTCGCGGCGCGGGTCGACGGCCGTCTCCAGCGGGATCGAGGCGCCGTACGGGGTGCTGGACGGGTCCGTATCCAGACCCTCAAACTGCAGAGACGGGGGGGGGGGGGTTAGTAAGGGGTGCTGGCCGGACGCGCATGGTGCTCAATAATTCTAAATGAAGCAGTTCAGTTCCTTCGAAGCGTTTGACATTGTTTTTTCTATCACAGACGATGACGATACAAATACAGCAAAATCCCTAACGGTCTGTCGTAATGCTGCTTGAGATCCAGTAAATCTTTGGGAAAATAATAAGTCAACAGGCTGTATCTCTACTCCAGTCAGTCTCACACGGAATCCCAGTGTTCTGTTCCTAATCCTGTTCCCATTTCTCAGTCCCGCTCCCCACACACACAGTCCCACTCTCCACTCAATCCCGCTCCCGATACAGCCCCGTTCTCCTACCCACACAGTCCCGCTCTCCGCTCACGTAGTGCCTCTCCCCACTGACAGTCCCGCTCCCACTCACGCAGACGTGTTTTCCGGGCCCGCTGTTGACGTCGTAGCCGGCCGCCTTCAGCACGTCGGTCAGCCGGGCGCCAGTCCACGTGGCGTTGCCGACGGCGGCGGCGCCCCAGAACAGACCCCGCACCGGCTTCACCTGGGTCATCTCGCTGCGACGGTTACCTGGCGGCCGGCGCGCCGAGTCGCGTCAGCTGGGAGAGCGGCTAACGTGATCCGTCCGCCGCCCGCCCGGCACAGCGCGCCGGGCCGCGTCAGCTGCCGACTGAGTCAAACGGTACTAATTGCCATCCTAGCTACCAGACACTTGTCACCAAGTTACCTAGCATACCTACATCATACTTCCCAGCAAATTTCCCAGACACTCGTCATTCTCGTCATCAAAGTTACCGGCTGATACTCGCTATCTGTGCTGACTATGCTGCTATGCTACCTGGTCTATGCTATATTTATGCCAGTTCCCAGACAAAATCACAAGACATATAAGATGACATATCATATGGCATATGAGACACATTCTCGCTGCACCGATCTACTGACACAATTACACGAAATATATAAACAAAAGAAATGCTTGCGTGCTGCAAAAAAAGCAGTTTATGCACAATAAATGTGCATTCTTCTGTTTGTAATGAGCATAACCTGTTCAGTGTTCATATATCGTTTATGCACAATAAATGTGCATTCTTCTGTTTGTAATGAGCATAACCTGCTCATAATATATCTTCCGTTAATGGCCTCTCCACGGAGAAAATGAAACTAAAACAGATCAATTTCGACGGCATCCGATATAGCAGCAGACCTTGGAAACAGGGGCCTGGCCAGTTAACATACACAAACGCCCGTTCTACAAACATACACCGGGCCGAGCCCACGCAGACTAGCCCGGGTGGCTGACTGGTCGAACAGGGCTGGCCTGCCCACGCTGACTGACCGGTCGCAGAGGGCGTCTGACCTGCGCACACGGGGCGGGGCTGACCGGGCTGCAGCGCGCTGAGCTGACCTGCGTACGCAATGCTGACAGGTCGGCAGAGGACTGACCGATCGGCTAACCGGCCGCAGAGGGGGTCTGACCTGCGCACACAGGGCTGACCGGCCGCAGAGGGGTCTGACCTGCGCACACGGGGCTGACCACTCGGCAGCGGGCTGACCTGCGTACACAGGGCTGACCGGGCTGCAGCGCGCTGAGCTGACCTGCGTACGCAGTGCTGACAGGTCGGCAGAGGACTGACCGATCGGCTGACCGGCCACTGCGGGACTGACCTGCACACACAGGGCTGACCGGCAGCGGTCTGACCTGCGCACACGGGGCTGACCGGCCACTGCGGGATGACCGGCCGGGCGGCCGCAAGGGGGGTGGGGGGAGGGGGAGACTGACCTGCGCACATGACGGTGGCGGTGACGGTGACGGCCGGAAAGTCCCTCTTCAGCTGCTCCAGGCTCAGGGTGAGGCCGCCCACTCCCACGCCGTCCACCTCCAACTCGTACTCGGACGGGTCAACGACCGGCACCGGCAGGTGGTTACGCACGTAAAACAGGTCACTGCCGGCGCACCGGGGACGGTCGGGGTCAATAGACAATAACAGGGGCCAGGGACAGAAGACAGACAGAAGGACAGAACAGAAGGGCCAGGACAGAAGCAGCCACCTGACTAGAGCCACTGGTCCTTATGTGTCCCATCCCAATATAAACATGCAAAGAAAAACATCAACATCAATCAGGTCCATGTCAACGAGAGCCATGAACTTGTTATGATTCGCTGACATTGACTGGGAACACCCATTGGCTGGTTTGTTAATTGGAGCTTTAGAGCGCGCCGAGGCTCGGAACACTGCTGAGCCGCACGGAACAACGAGTGCCCGCCGGCGTCGTCCGCGCTCGTACTTGGGCGTGAGGAAGTTGTCGGCGAGCAGCGCTGGCGGCGGCTCGGCGTTGAACGGCGTCTTGGAGCTGGGCTTGAGCGCCGGGTGGCGGCGCGGCTCGGCCGCCCACGGGTCGTCGGTGCCATCCCGGTGGCTGCCCACCTCGTCCTCACGAACGTTACCTGACGGCGACGGCTGATGTCAGCTGACGGCGACAGCTGACGTCAGCTGACGGCGACGGCTGACGTCTATCAGTGTCACCGTGGCAACTACCGTCAGCTGATGGTGCCAGACAGTCATTGCCGAATGCCGGCAACGCCTTATGTAAAGCTGGCACGTCAGCAATCACGATAATTCGACTCAATTGGCGACAGCTAAATGTTGTGGTATTATAAGAGAGATGCAAAGACTGGAAATTGATCAACATCGCGAAAACCCTCCACCGGCGTCATCCATAGTAACCGTTCTCTCACTGATACAGCACAGTTTAAATAAAACAATAGAAACTAAACTTCTAGCTTAACAGCTAAAAATAATGAATAGGTATTTAGCTTCAAAGGATCCCAGTGCTCTTTTGGGACGCTTTGGATTTCCGTTCCCGCTAAGGCCCGATTCCTTCAGCAGCAGGGGACGCGCCACTCACCGATCCGGTAGCGCTCGAGGAGTTTGAGCACATGCTCCTCCTTGTGGACGGCGTAGAGGTCCCAGAACGGGTCGGCAGAGCCGCCGGCGCCCATCATGATGGCCGCACCGCCTGCACCAGCGGAACAGCAGTCAATGGTAGTGCAGTCATACAGAGCCGCCGGAGCAGTGGTCAGGACTGGCCATACTCGGACCGGCTGGTCAGACGCACGACACTAGATAAAATGGATGAGACTTACGCGACGCACGGCGGCAGCACGTGAGCGACGGTTACGAACACAATGACTAATTAAACACTTAAACAGCAAACTGTTCCAGATACACACGGGTTGGTGGGTAGTTCAGTTACAAAATAATATTTCGCACTGTCGATATCAATAACAAGTTACCGGAGACGATGCACAATATTGGTGTTTGGCCCTATTTCGTTGTCACAGCTGCTATCCTGCTCGTATTTTTACAAGGACAGATCACGCTGAGTCAGTGAGTGCCCGGCGGGAAGGGAGAGGGGGCGTTAGGGTCAATCGGTGACGTACCAGGGTGCTGGCGCACAAAGTCGGTGACGTCATACACGCCCTCGTGGTAGGTCATCCAGACGCGCTCCTTGACGTCGGCGTGTCGCGACACCTCCTCCATGGAGAAGGTGGGCAGGTCGGCGCGCCGCTGGCCGTACTGGCCGCTGCTGGCGGCGCTGACCGCCGTCAGCCGGCCGCGCCGCTGCTGCGCCAGCCACAGTGCCGAGCCGGCCAGCGCGGCGCCGGCGGCCAGCGCGGCCAGCCGGGCGGCGCGCCGGCCGCGGCCGTCCTCCGGCTCCGGACTGCCGGGCCCGGAGCTCAGGTGGCGCACCAGGCAGGGCGCGCCGCGCGCGGCACTGGCGTCAGCAGGTCACAACACTGTCAGACGGGGATACTGGGAACCGGCCCAGCGCGGCCAGGGCTGACCAGTGTAGCCACAGCTGCTCCCGCGGACACACTCACTGATGGTGAACCAAAACACTCGGTGTGTTACTATTTCACAAAACAGCTGGCAAAACAGGCGGCATCACATGTGGTAGACAAGATCGCAAGGTTGACGTAAAAGAGTCGACATTTGTCGGCTTCATTCGTTGCCCGACCTTGTGGTTTTGTACGTTGAATCACTCCCTCACCAATTGGATGCCTTTGTAGAGTAATACAAACTACACCAGCAGTGAATCATGACTAGCAGTCAGATGGAAGTAGCACACGGTCGGTGCAAATTTTATAAAGTGGCGAATCGGTAGTAGGTGAACGTTTATCAGTGAACGTTTATCAGTGAACTGATAAGACAGAGCAATTTCAATTAAGTTCTAAGAGATTCATGAAAAGACCACGGTTTTTATGTTGTAACTCGACACTATATATTGTCCTAAAAGAACGGTATCTTTGAACTTATCATGGCTCATTATTCTACTTTCGTTTTACCTGTTTTATGTGTACGAATCGTTACGATGAAATAATATTAGAAGCGCCCAGGAATCAGGATTTGGACAAACAATTAGGTACACATTATTGAGGCGTTCCGAGACTGCACTGTAACCGCAGCATTGGCGGGCCATCTGCAGACATGAGCCCCTGCCCTTGGATACGAGAACACTAACACGAATCAAGAAACGTCGTCTTGAACGATGCGAGGGCTTACCCGAAAATAGCTTCTCCTTCTTCTAAAAACTCACCAGATTTCGATTTCTTACACACTGCTGTGAACTTGTGCAGTTTAAAATAAACCTTTCCTGATAAAGATGTTCAAGTTTCTTTTACCCTCGAAAAAGACGTAAATTTTCGTGAAATTCGAGCGACATGGGGAAGGCATGGAAGGCATTTGCCCCAAAGCTCCCTGGATCCGCCAGTGCTCGAGAAAATAAATGTGGGATTCCTACAGATCTTGATTTAGGATCCGATAGGATCATATATCCAGCTCCTCCATTTATGAGGGATCCATCTGGATGATACACCCTAACTTGTTTGCTTCGAGATCAACCAAGAGCATAGATCCAACACTTATCCCAAGCATATGTCTTGTCATCTGACCATTAAAAGGCCCGGGTAGACAGTGCCACGCCCACGACCCCAATGGCACAGTATTGGCGATAATCACACGGCACATATTCATGCAGGTAACATTCAAAACATTCATAACATTCAAAACACGCATTGATAAAACAAACCTATTCGGGTACACGTGAATTAAGATCGTGCATGTAAACATTGATCTAATGCCAGTATCAGCGACGAGCGCCACTTCACAGCTGATAATACGGTACCTATCGATAGCACTCAACGTCCCGACTCCCGAGCCCAGAATGCGGTAGGACGATTCGCTGACAATGATATGTGATCAATAGCGTCCGAGCCCCGGGGCGAGGACCGAGCTCGGCTAACTGCCGATCTGCAGCCGATCCAGCTTTCCGGGCTCGGACATGAGCCGTGCAGCCGGTATCCCTTCTGCTCAGCACCATGATTCAGCAGTTTTTGATAGCGTGCAGTCGGGAAGTGAGGGTCGAACGTTGCATCAGCGTTCGGACCGGCGTCGGTCGGGAAGATGACACAGCGCTTTTAGCAGACTTTCGAGATTATATGAAGGTCAAGGGACTGGTTCCAACCCGCTACTATTTTAGGACTACATGGCATATCAAGTAAGGACAGAACGGTTGCAGGTTTTTAGGTACCAAATATTCCGACCGGACGGTGGGTGCCGTCTGCCTGGGTCACTGACCTGGTTAGGTGGCGCACGGAGCCACCGATCGCCAGTAGAGAGGTCAGCATGGCTGAGCGGACCGACCGACTGAGAGTCACTGATCCGTGGGTCCGGGGGAGACCGATACCACCCGAGACTGAGACACACTGAGCGGCGGGTCGCGCGGAGACCGGTACCACCCGCAGCAGCACCTGCCGAGAGACCAGTCACACTGTCACCGACCGCCGCCGCGCCACACCGTCACTGAGTGACACTGTCACCGACCGTATCACCGACCGCCGCCGCGCCACACAGTCCGCGTCACACTGCCACCGACCGTGTCACCGACCGCCGCCGCGCCACACTGTCACCGACCGCCGCCACACAGTCCGCGTCACACTGTCACCGACCGCCGCCGCGTCACACTGTCATCGACCGCCGCCGCGTCACACTGCCACCGACCGCCGCCGCGCCACACAGTCCGCGTCACACTGTCACCGACCGCCGCCGCGCCACACAGTCCGCGTCACACTGTCACCGACCGCCGCCGCGCCACACAGTCCGCGTCACACTGCCACCGACCACCAGCGAAACCCACATACACACACAGCAGAGGGTCGCGTTTGGCGCCGCCTACCGACAGTCGGACCTGGCCTAGCGCCGCCCACCCGTCCCCATCACGGTCTGGCACGGAATGTCCCAACCGTTGTATGGGGGCCGCCCACTGGCCAGCACCTGTCCCAGTCGCAGTCAAGCGCCACCCCACCAGGCCAGCCGGGGCCCAATCACGATCTGGAGCTGCCCCCAGTCATCATCTAATGCAGCCTAGCCTGTCCAAATGGCAGTTTGGCGCCTCACCAAGTCCACTGCCAGCGCCCAGCAGTCATCGCCTCTGACACCCCAAACCAATTCAAATAAAAAACTGGTTTGATGCTCACTGGGCACACCTTGCGCATTACATCCCTCATGCAGATGAATGGTCAGATGCACGAGGAGCTCAACTAGAAAGTTTTTTTAGGGCCTCTAGACTATACAAATTCTGTACCTACTTTGCAAGTAGGTGCTTAAGTAAATAACCATAAGGCTGTTCACGGGCCTTGTGTGCGGTCGGACCGTACACAGCCTTCAAACTCCTTCCCGTACGTCAGCCTTCTGTCACTGCACACAGCGACCACTGTGGTCGGAGGGGTGTTCACGGGCACTGCAAACTGCTGAGTGTGGTGTGTGCGGTGTGTGCAGCAGGTGTGGGGGTATGGGGTGGATAGGCGGTTCTGACGTCAGCTGCGTGTGGCAGACAGTCCGCTGTGGCCGGTCCCAACCGGCCACAGCGGTAACTGAGTGCGGTAATGGAAGGATAACGTAGGGACACAGTGGGCGGAGCTTAGAGCCTGTATACGGTCCGATCGCACACAGGGCCCGTGAACAGCCCTCATGATGAAGCACCCAAGCACTGCGTGGCTGTTTCAGTTTGCTCTAAAAGTAAGTATCTACCAATTGTTAAAATATTTTAAATTGGTTGTCACAGCATGCAATTTTCTTGATACTTCAAAAGCATACTGGGTCGAAATGGTCAACCAGCGATTGATGAGAGAAGCATATCTCAATCTCAATCTATCAAATTGAATTCATATTTCATGCATACCATAAAACAGTTAGGTAAGTACAGTTCAAGCTGCTTAAGCAAGTTCAGCACATGCACATAACTTCCCAACCCCAACCGACAGGCAAACCTCGACCTCACCGGGAGCAGCGGGGAAATGAATGAAATGAAGCTTGGAAATTAGTAAACACACAAAATCGAGGTCACCATCAGAGCCTTAGTATTTTGCAGCTTCTTTTATATGTTTGTATTTTCAAACAGTTTAGTGTTTCAAACCGCTTCCAAAGTATTCCAATTAAACTTTAACTAAATAATAATAACATGAGGTATAAGAATATAAATCAATTTATCCTAAAAACTCAAAAACAGTTGGTATAGAAGAAGCTCCTTTTCCCGTTTTAGCTGTAAAATAGCGAAGTTTATTTTTAGTACATTTATGACGCTGCTGTTACATTTGTTTATTTCTCTTTTTGACGCGATTGTGGAGGGGCTTGGAGGTGTGTTACGGTGTTGCGTCGTTTTTTTTTCGTATGAATTTATCATTTCTGATGAGAAGGTTTTGTTTTTTCTTTCAACATTAGCCTACTCCATTTTCATTGATAAATGATGATTTATGGTAAAAGTTTATACAAGTAAAAGAAACTTCACCAAAAGACAGCTCAAGGCAGTAATCATATTCCAGACCGGTTTCGGTACGTTTTAGTACCATCATCAATGGGCATACATGTTATGTTAAACGTGCCGAAACCGGTCTGGAATATGATTACTGCCTTGAGCTGTCTTTTGGTGAAGTTTCTTTTACTTCTACGACCAAAACATGAACGACTTTTCGATCATATCAAGAGATCACACAGAAGATCTACGTTCAAAGAAGTTTATACAAGTTTCGTGCTAATTGCTAGTTTTCTCGGAAACATTTAATATTCCTCAAACACGTCAGTTTTAAGTTTTTGCCCTTTGGAGGCTATATCGTTCATTTACATGTCAAATTTCAGATTATTCATCAGAAAGAGCTTGAAAAAGGCTATCGAATGCCTTTTTCTGGGGTTCTTTTGGTTTATTAATTCCTGAATCATGTGCTGCTTTGCCAAAATATGGTAAAAAGAAAAGTTTGACCTTTACAATTTCTAGCAACCCGCCGCTGACCTGGTCCTTCAAATTAACTTCCACTTTCTTGATATTTTACTCCTCAGCAGTCAGCACCACTTACCATGTGCTGATAATGCTGTTGTGATCCAGGATCCAGAAGCCAGGCGAGATGGAGGCAGGAAGGAGGGGGGCACGCTCGGCACCACATATTTTGTCGAGGAGAGCAGAGGCGGCAGAGCTTCCCTGGGGCTTCATGCCAATAGGGTCTCTGAACAGTGGGGCCTAAGGCCTTTATGTGTTAACTATTTTTGAAAAGTTTCAGCCTTCAGGGGTCTCATTTAACCAAAAAGTTTCACCAGGGCAGATAAGGGGCCTTTTTTCTGTCTCTAGGCTTCAGATCATGGGCCTTCTCTGAGCAAGAAGCTGTTTCATACAGATTTGCTTCCTGCATGCTGACAAGGGCCTCTTAGGTTATAGCACCTAGGTTCAGGGACCTTCTGTAACCTCGAAGTTTCACCTGGGCAGATAAGGGAAGCTGTGTATTGATATCCTTTCTTTATGCTGACAAAAGTCTCTTGAAACTTACAGGTCTCAGTTGGCCTCTCTTGATTGGCACAGTACTTAGTACTTATGTACAGGGGACCCCCTCATTATACCTAACTATGCAGAAAGCTTCATTCTGCTTTAGTTTAGAGTTGGGATTTCAGGAATGGCAATGTCTATGGTGGCAAAGTCACCTCGATAAGAAGGGAGTATGGAGTATGGACCTATGTTTTTGAGCAAAATGGCCTCTGACATTACAGCTGGGGCAAAAGATATGTTTGCCCCTCCTGTTCCATGCCTGGAGGGCAGCTGCCACTCCTCCCCCTGGTGGTGCTGCCCCGGGGGGGGGGGGGGGGAGCGCCATACACCCCTTCATACACCCCCTCCCCCTGCACCAGCTTTGCAAGCCGGGTTAAGGTGACAGCCTGTTCTGAATTTGTTGTCTGGTTATGCTGGTTCTGGCTCTGCATTCCTGACCTGGACTCAATGCTTTAGCCAATTGCCATTCACAGCATTCCAGATACCCATGGTGATCTTTAATACAGTAAGCAGTTACTTGAAAAGCGCCACATGCATCATATGACAGGGTACTTAGGTGGCCTTCTGGCACCAGGCAGCCCAGATTGTTACCGTCTGTCTGTATCGGGTGCCCGCCCCAAACGACCCCATCTCTGTCTGCAGGATGGCTACCCACGTGGAGGGGCTGAAGGATGAGGTGTACCTGCCGCCAGAGGAGCTGGCCAGAGGTGCCCACTGCTCCTCCATGCAGCAGTACAACGACATGTACACACAGTCCATTGATGAGCCGGAGGCGTTCTGGGGCCAAATAGCCAAACAGTTCCACTGGAAGACGCCGCACTCTGGCAAATTTTACGACTACAACTTTGACGCGGCCAAAGGCAAGGTCTTCATTGAGTGGATGCGCGGAGCGACGACCAACGTCTGCTATAACGCGCTGGACCGCCACGTCGAGAACGGGGACGCCGACCGCGTGGCGTTCTACTGGTGAGTGGGGAGCGGGAGCGGGCCAACCGCGTGGCGTTCTACTGGTGAGTGGGGAGCGGGAGCGGGCCGACCGCGTGGCGTTCTACTGGTGAGTGGGGAGCGGGAGCGGGCCGACCGCGTGGCGTTCTACTGGTGAGTGGGGAGCGGGAGCGGGCCGACCGCGTGGCGTTCTACTGGTGAGTGGGGAGCGGGAGCGGGCCGACCGCGTGGCGTTCTACTGGTGAGTGGGGAGCGGGAGCGGGCCGACCGCGTGGCGTTCTACTGGTGAGTGGGGAGCGGGAGCGGGCCGACCGCGTGGCGTTCTACTGGTGAGTGGGGAGCGGGAGCGGGCCGACCGCGTGGCGTTCTACTGGTGAGTTGGGAGCGGGAGCGGGCCGACCGCGTGGCGTTCTACTGGTGAGTTGGGAGGCGTTGAGTGGGCCGACCGCGTGGCGTTCTACTGGTGAGTTGGGAGCGGGAGCGGGCTGCGCGAGAGGCCGAGTGAAAAGCACTCTGGCGGGCCGTGTAGCTGTTGGATGCGTTGGGAGTCACATATGTACTAGTGGGTTGCTGCAGTTGATGCTCGCTCAGATGACAGGATAGTTCGAGTCTGGCAGTTTCCGCCCCGTGCCCCGTGTCGTCCCGCCCTGTCCGGCTCCGCACTGTCCTACTGTCCGGCTCCACACTGTCCCCTGTCCGGCTCCACACTGTCCCCTGACCCGCCCCTGCCCGGCTCCACACTGTCCCCTGTCCGGCTCCGCACTGTCCCCTGTCCGGCTCCGCACTGTCCCCTGTCCGGCTCCACACTGTCCCCTGTCCGGCTCTGTACCGTCACTGACCCTCCCCCGCCCGCTCTGCGGCCAGGGAGGGTAACGAGCCGGCCGATGACGAGGTGGTTACCTACGGCCAGCTCCTGGAGCGCGTCCGCCGCTGCAGTAACGCCCTGCGCGCGCTCGGCGTGCGCCGCGGGGACCCAGTGGCCGTCTACCTGCCCATGATACCCGAGCTGGCCGTCACAGTGCTGGCCTGCGCGCGCATCGGCGCCGTGCACTCGGTCGTGGTGAGTGGGGGGGGGGGGGAGGTAAAGTGAGGTGAGGTGATGTTAGGTGAGGACGTGGGGGCGGGGGTGGCGTTGCTTTGTGTAGAGCTGAGAGGGTATGGTATGAGTTAAGTCTTAGAGAAGTTTTGATAAGCGATGAATGCATAACACATATGTTGCTAACAATTTGGTAAGTGTCCAAGTTAAGAATTCGTGAGTATGGCTATCTTCCAGTGGCTGGCGGTACTTGCAGCCTAAAGGTTTGGGAAGTGCTTCATCTGCCTTCAGCTCGGTGTTTTTTTTTTCCCTGAACGCGCTAGCTGATCGTTAGTCACTGACGGATCGGGGGGGGGGGGGGTATTTGGGTAAATGCCCGCTGCGGCGCCCGCAATCGACGGAAAGTTACCGTTTGTGGAGATTAAAAATAAAACAAAGGAATTTATATTATTATGGAAACTGAAAAGATTGTTTTAAATTTCGCAGCATTGCGTAGGGAATCAAAATCCGAGGAGTTTTTGGAATTTGACGAACTTTTTGTTGGGGCTATACCCCCCCCCCCTTCAGCGTCCAAGAGACCCTTTCTAGATGCGCCTGTGTCGTTAGAACATTGACTCGATGTCCTTGCCGTCAGTTTGGCGGTTTTTCGGCGGACGCGCTGGCCGACCGGATCCTGGACGCCAAGTGCGAGGTCATCGTCACCTCTGACGGCTTCTGGCGCGGCAACAAGCTGGTGCACCTGAAGGAGATCGCCGACCACGGTAAGTCCTGGCCACCGGCGCATTTGGAGTCGAGACGTTAGAACGTAGAATGCTGCTAGACTCTTTTAGAGGTTTACCCGAATTTCGGAACATTGTCTCATTGCATATTTATAGGCTGTACTTTTTATGTTGTAAATAGGCAATGTGTGGCTGGGCCGGCTGGTTGTGAAGTTACCATGTTCTGCTGTGTCCGGCAGTATAAGCGTTTTGTTTCCGACTGTGACCGGCTCTGAGTGCTGTGTGTCCGCTGTGACTGCTGGTGACCGTGTTGTGCCCGCTGTGACCGCTGGTGACCGTGTTGTGCCCGCTGTGTCCGGCAGCGGTCCAGGAGTGCGCCGAGAAGGACCACACGGTCCGGAAGGTGCTGGTGGTGCGGCACCTGCCGCGGCTCAAACAGCACACGGGCACCAACGGGGCCACCGACGGCGAGCAGCCCGCCAAGAAGATGGAGTACGACATCGAGGTGGGCACCGGACCTAACTTTGTCCCTGGCGATATCTGATCATGGTCTGCCGTACCTTCGCAGAGTGACTCACCAGTCTGTGCTGCAGACCTTGTCCGATAGTCTGTTTAGAGCAGTGTGGCTCGATCGGCTACCATCAGTGAGTGCTGTTCGTGCGGGGGTGATGGTCGGAGTGAGAGCTGGGCAGGGGCTCACAGGCGCGTTCTGCCGCTGAGACTGTGACCGGGTGCCGCCAGGCGGCCTGGACCGCCGGCCGGGACGTCTGTCCCCAGTACACCCCTGAGACTGTGCCCTGCACGTGCCGCTAGGCGGCCTGGAGCGCTTAGTACGCCCCTGTGACTGTGCCCTGCACGTGCCGCCAGGCGGCCTGGAGCGGTTAGTACACCCCCCCCCCCCCCCCACACCTCTGCCCTGCACGTGCCGCCAGGCGGCCTGGAGCGCCGACCGGGACGTCTGGTGGACAGACGCCATGAAGGAGGCGGCGCCCGACTGCGAGCCCGAGTGGATGGATGCAGAGGACCCGCTCTTCATGCTCTATACCAGGTGAGAGGCACAGTGGACCCGCTCTTCATGCTCTATACCAGGTGAGAGGCACAGTGGACCCGCTCTTCATGCTCTACACCAGGTGAGAGACACTGACAACCCGCTCTTTATGCTCTATACCAGGTGAGAGGCACGGACTCGCTGTTCATGCTCTATACCAGGTGAGAGACACAGTGGGCCCGCTATTCATGCTCTATACCAGGTGAGAGGCCCTTAAGACCCGGTATTTATGCTCTATACAGAGTGAGAGGCCCTGGCAACCCGCTCTTTATGCTCCGTATCAGGTGAGGGATGCCAAGGATCTGCTTTTCATGTCCTAAGCCAGGTGAAGAGGCTCAGAACCCGCTCAGTATACCACATATCGGGGTAATGTGTGGTAACTGCGAACCAAGCTCACCAACCGAATTGTCAGCCCATGCCTGGCTCACAAATTAAACTGTCACCTTATGCCAAATTCACCAACCGAGATGACAGCTAATGATATAGATGACATCACCTGTGTGACATACAAAGCAGTGTAAGGTGAATTAAACCGTGTGTGAGCCTGGTTGGCCATGTTTCTTACCATTACCGCTGTTTGTGTGGCTGTTCAGCGGCTCGACGGGTAAGCCGAAGGGCGTGCTGCACACGACGGCCGGCTACATGCTGTACGCGGCCACCACGTTCAAGTACTCGTTCGACTACCACCCGGAGGACGTATACTGGTGCACGGCAGACGTGGGCTGGATCACGGGACACTCGTACGTGGTGTACGGGCCGCTGCTCAACCGGGCCACCTCCGTCATGGTGAGTCGGGCAGCCAGGCAGGCGTGTGTGAGATAGCAGACGGACAAACTGGGATATGAGGGTGACATTGGGCTCAGCAGCAGCCAGATATGAAATGTCCAGATGCTGTGGCACATATAAATCTGCAGGTACGGGCTTAATGGGCAGTCTCTCTGCGCACTGCAGCGCATTAGAATATTCGGGCATAATGTGAGTTGGTTGTGCGTTTGCAGGTATGTGACCTGTGCGTTCGCGTGCGGATTGGTTACTGTACGCTAGTTATTTTTTTATCTGAATGCTCTACAGCTCTCTACAGCACGTTTCATGGTTTCTCTCCACAACCTTCCACTGATCGTCACCTTGAATTTTGTGTCCCCTGACGTCCGCCCTCCTCCGCTGTCCGCCAGTTTGAGGGCTCTCCGTTTTACCCAAACGGCGAGCGTCCGTGGCAGATAGTCGACAAGTACGCCGTCTCCAAGTTCTACACAGCGCCTACCGCCATCCGCGCACTGATGAGACTCGGAGACGAGCTGGTCACCAAGTGAGTAGACTCGGAGACGAGCTGGTCACCAAGTGAGTAGACTCAGTAGACTCGGAGACGAGCTGGTTACCAAGTGAGTAGACTCAGTAGACTCGGAGACGAGCTGGTTACCAAGTGAGTAGACTCGGAGACGAGCTGGTTACCAAGTGAGTAGACTCGGAGACGAACTGGTTACCAAGTGAGTAGACTCGGAGACGAACTGGTCACCAAGTGAGTAGACTCGGAGACGAACTGGTTACTAAGTGAGTAGACTCGGAGACGAACTGGTTACCAAGTGAGTAGTAGACTCGGAGACGAGCTGGTTACCAAGTGAGTAGACTTGGAGACGAGCTGGTTACCAAGTGAGTAGATTTGGCGACGAGCTGGTTACCAAGTGAGTAGACTCGGAGACGAGCTGGTTACCAAGTGAGTAGACTTGGAGATGAACTGGTTACCAAGTGAGTAGACTCGGAGATGAACTGGTTACCAAGTGAGTAGACTCGGAGACGAGCTGGTTACCAAGTGAGTAGACTCGGAGACGAGCTGGTTACCAAGTGAGTGGCTTCAACGACGAGCTGGTTACCAAGTGAGTAGACTCGGTGACCAACCGGCTACCAAGTGAGTGGCTCCGGCGCCACGAGTACGGCTGAATGGAGATATGCCTCCTGTGTTTTCTCCCTCTTGTTCTCGTTATCTTGTGTTTATACGAGTACACCTCATCCGTGTGTAGCTTTGTCTGATCTCTTATCTGCATCCTTATAGTGGTAAAGCACGCCCTTGGCCAACGATTGGGTTCGGTATACCCGCTAAAATCTACAGTATCAGCTGGCTGCCTCCGGACATTGTCGTCTGACCTCTCTTACTACGTTCGGTGCCCCGCACAGCCACTGTACTCTAACCCCCCCCCCCTCCCCTCGCCGCCCGCCAGGTACAGCCGTCGCTCGCTGAAGGTGCTGGCCACGGTGGGTGAGCCCATCAACCCGGAGGCATGGCTGTGGTACCACCGGGTGGTGGGCGACGCGCGCTGCGCCGTCGTCGACACGTTCTGGCAGACGGAGACGGGCGGCCACGTCATCACTCCGCTGCCCGGCGCCACGCCCACCAAGCCGGGATCGGCGTGCCGGCCGTTCTTCGGCGTGCAGCCGGCGCTGCTCGATGAACAGGGGGTGGAGATCCACGGCCCCGGCGAGGGATACCTGGTGTTCCGCCGGCCCTGGCCGGGCATCATGCGGACCGTGTTCGGCAACCACGAGCGCTTCGAGACCACCTACTTCAAGAAGTTCAACGGTTTCTACTGCACGGGCGACGGCGCGCGGCGAGATGAGGACGGCTACATCTGGGTGACGGGACGGATCGACGACATGCTGAACGTGTCTGGACACCTGCTCTCCACAGCCCAGGTGAGTGGCAAATTGTTTTTGTTTTGTTTTTTGGGTTAGGCCCTTTCGGTCCAATGAGACCATTTCAGAGCCGGGAGGATGATAGGATATAGGGGGAGACATTGCTCTGGGCAGGCACCCTAGTGAGTCGCCGGGGCTGAGCCCGTCCAGAGGACAGGCCACCCAGCCCCAAGGCACTCACTGCACCCGGCTACGGGGTGCGCTCCCTCGGGAGCAGCGGTGCCGCTCCAAGGGAGCAGCCCGCATGAGATAAAGTCGCCTGTCCAGCCCGGAGGGGGGTTGCGGCGTGGAGGAGAAGGATTTCAGTATCCTGAGGATAGAAGCACGGAACGGTGAGTGGCAAACATCCATTATTGTATATCGCGAGAGGTAGTTTTGGACCTTCCGTTACGTATGGGTGGAAACTGCACGGTTCTAATATCCGTCAGCTGTATATCCGTCTCCCCTCCCCTCCCCCCGATAAGACGGTTGCCGGGACTTCTGTGGTCGCTTTCCCGACGGGTTGCCTGTTGCGTGATTGAGATGTGCCGGTTCTGAGCGGATGTGTGACTGTACCGAGTCTCTGGTGCTGGCTCCGCCCTGACCCGGAGCTGTGTGTGTCCCCTCTGACCGAGTTGACCGAGTTCTGCGCTCAGATCGAGTGTGCTCCCTCTGACTGAGAGCCGCCCCCGTCCTGCGCTCAGATCGGGTGTGTTCCCTCTGACCGAGTTCTGCGCTCAGATCGGGTGTGTTCCCCCTGACTGAGAGCCGCTCTGTTCTGCGCTTAGATGGAGTGTGCTCCCGCTGACTGAGAGCCGCCTCCCGTTCTGCGCTCAGATCGAGTGGTTTCCTCTGACTGAGAGCCGCCCCCGTCCTGCGGCAGATCGAGTGTGTTCCCTCTGAGAGCCGCCCCGTTCTGCGTTCAGATCGGGTGTGCTCCCGCTGACTGAGAGCCGCCCCCGTCCTGCGGCAGATCCGGTGTGTTCCCTCTGACCGAGAGCCGCCCCGTTCTGCGCTCAGATCGAGTCGGCACTGATCGAGCACCCGGCCGTGGCTGAGGCGGCCGTGGTGGCCGTGCCGCACTCCATCAAGGGAGAGGCCGTTTACTGCTTCGTCACCAACAAGCAGGGCACCGAGTGGAGCGACCAGCTGAAGAAGGACCTCATCCTCAAAGGTGGGTGCCGCCTGCCGGGAGGGAGTGGAACGGGTGAGGGACGGGAGTGGGATGTGAGGGGCTGAATCCTGCGATTGAAACAAGTAACTAATTAAAGACAGTCTGAGAGATGAGTATTCAAGTGAGGAAGTTATTCATTATCGGTGTGAGCCGATGACCGCAGCAATCCAGATTCCAGGCACACGGAAACTCAGGAAATGAGAGCTGCCAATGATATGTCTTAATGGCTTTCAATGACGTGCAGGCGAGGTCACATTGCAATGCAAGCGTTTCACTTATTTTGCTGCTGGGAAATGCCCAGACGTAAATAACTAACGGCAACACCAGTCGCCTCAGCCGGTGGCGGGTCTCGGCGAGCAGTTGCTGACCCCTCTCCCCTCCCTCCCCACCCGACCACAGTACGCGAGCGGATCGGTGCGTTCGCGGCGCCCGACTACTTGCAGAGCGCGCCGGGCCTGCCCAAGACGCGCTCCGGTAAGATCATGCGGCGCGTGCTGCGGAAGATCGCCGTCGGAGACCGCCAGCTGGGCGATGTGAGTACGATGGCCGACTCGACCGTCATAGACACACTGTTTGAGCTGCGCAGCGTCCACCTCAAGTAGCGGCGGCGGTGTGGCGGGCGGGCCGCCCCCAGAGCTACTGCTGCGGCAGTGTGGAGGGCGGGTCGTCCCAGAGCCCCAGTAGCGCAGTCGGTAGCGGACGGCGGCGACGGTAGCGGGTGGTGCGGCGGCGCGGCTGCCGGTGGTGCCTCAGTGATGTGGTGCGCCGTCCCAGCGTCTCAGTAGCGGGCGGCGGCAGCGGTAGCGGGGTGGTGCGGCGGCGGCACAGCTGCCGGCGGCGCCAGGGAACCATAACCCGGTGATGGGGCTGATCAAAGCCGGCCCGGCGCTCTTTTCTAACGTACAAACGGTGTCCAGTATTGGTGTATCACCGACGGCGACCACGGCTCAAAACGCAGCAGGTGCCGAGGATCACGAGTGCAGTGTATTTTTTACGGCTCTTTTTGGACGAGCTGTGCGCCAGAGATGTATATCGGGTGTTTGTGAGACGAAAGAGCGGCTCATTTCGCGAGCGTCATTTGGATGTGCACACGCGTCGTGGAACAAACCTATGTTTTATACCATTGTGGTGGACAATTTTGTTTGACGGTCGATTTCGGCTGGCGTATGGATGAACAAAGAACATGTTTTTTTTTTGGGCGAGACTATTTTAGACTTGCTGCTGCAATACCTCCATGTTTTACTGAGCGTGGCTGGCGTGCCTGGGCGAGCCTTGGCTGGATCATGGCGTGCTTGGATTATGCGCGCGTGTGAGAGCTTTGCTGCCTGAGTTCAGACAGTATAGATAGGTTTGTGCAGAGTCGTTTTACTAGATTTAGTGGTCGACAGTGGTGGTAGGAATAAAGTGCTTTGAGATGATCAGACGACTTTCTTCAAGGGAAAATATTAAATGAAAATGAAGGTGCCCATAATTTGTGGCCTACTGCCTCGCAGTCAGATGAACCTGAACGGGCACAGAGCTACATAAGTACATGTAGCTAAATGACATTGACAAAATATGTGCATTTATTCGTCATGCTTTACCAATTATTCACATGCAGGTATACATACATCTGGTGTAAAACGAACGGACGGAGTTTCACAACATCGTACGTTCACGTACTGATTGGACGGATTCGTGGTCTTTGCTCGCGTTCATTGCTAAAGAACTATGTTGGTCTCAGCATGGGTTGAGCATTCGTCGTAAAAGGAGCTAGCATGCTCTTCATACACAGTGGTTAGTACGCTAAAATATCGTCCGGTGGTTCAATGTCATGTTCAAAGGAATGCTTAGCGTTCTCGATGGACGATGACTACAGCTGTCTTCTTTCTTTTCGAGAGGATACAAATGCTTATGATCAAGCCAGGAGTAGACGCGTTGGAAACATACGTGAACTACTTTATGTTATCATTCACAAGGCTTCAAAGTCATCAAAAGTTGCACTTCCACACACTGGTCCTGTACATTTTTTGCCCACATTTGCACGTCACTCAGAGGACGTTCCCCTGTCTCTTTCAGGCTTGTCCCATGGTCTCACTCACTCACGTCATGACTCGGGAAGGCCGCTCAAAGTGTCACCTCACCAGTCGCTGGTACCTGGGGCGGGTTACGGTGTGGTCCAGCGTCGGTGACCTCACGCTCTTGCCTCACTACCGTTCCAGCCGTTGAGTCGCGGGTCCCGACGGCTTGTGAGAGGGCCCGGAGCCACTGTCTTCAGCAGTGCTATCTGGTTCCGTCCGTCCCGCGGCCGTGTTACTGCGCAGACCATCGCTTGGACCATCACTTTTCCGCATATTCCCGTCGCAAAAACAATACACACAGCCACGACGGTACTCTGTCGCGCCTAGCGACCCTATATCTCTGCTGCTGCTGGTGTCCCCTAGTACGGGCGGCGGCTGGCACTATACCCGCTCCGTCTCCAGGCCCGAGTTATCGTGGCCGTGCAGGTGCGGCCGGCCGTGTACCTGGTGCTGGAGGGCCAGCAGCCGCCGGCGGGCGTCCCGGTCGCCGGGGCCCCAGCTGGGCAGTGGACGGAACGCCTGGCCCGGCTTCTGTGGACGGGGGACGGCAGGGTGTCAGACGAGACACTGGGGAGGACCACCGTCGGAAAATTTGGTAAATTACGTCAGTCAGGATACCTCGAGCTTCTGGCTGCTTGAGCCTGTCGTTCTTATTGCTTGAAAACTTGTACCATCTGAATCTGAATTTGAAGGTGAAACTGGCAAATACTTAAGCAGTACAGTCTGTCTTAAAAGTACCGCGCAAAGTGACGATGGATCCATCGAGGCTTACCGAGGAAGGGCCTGCTAAATTTGAGTCACCGAAGCAATTGACATCCTCGTCCATTCCCCACCTGGTCAATTGGTTTGGTGACTTTCAAATTATAGCAGGCCCTTCCTCGGTCAGGCTTGATGGATCCACCGTCACTTTGCGCGGTACTTTTAAGACAGACTGTACTCCAGCGTGCCATTATTGCCACTCGCACACACCTTTAACAATAAACTGCCGGCCAGCCGTCTTCCAACCTGTTCGGTATGCAGGTTGGAAGACCTGCATATAATACGGTATGCAGGTCCTCCAACCTGCATACCGTATTAGTTCCACCATTCCCTGTTCTCTCCCACCTCCGCCACTCACCCATTTGCAGAGGTAGTAGAGCACCGTGAGCAGCGCCCAGAGGGGGATCTGCACCAGCGAGATGCCGGCCAGGCCCCATCCCACGTATACGGCCCACTCGGGGTACTCGTAGTCGCCGTACTTGGGTGGCTCGTACTCGTACATCGAGTACGCAAAGATCGCCTGCCGGGCACGCACAGACACACGTTAGGTAACGGACGCCTGTGCAGAAACCGGAAACGTAAACAACCTTTGCCTCAGTCGGTGTCAGGTCGTATGTTGTTGATTGGGAACTTTGATCGAACCAGATACCTACTAGTTGCATGTCAGAAAAGTGTGATAGGCTTATCATAACTCTCCTATAGTAAAGAAAACATTAGCAACGGCAGGTGATGACGTCAGCCTGTGTGCTTCATTTTTTTTTTTTTTTCAGTGCTCAATACTTAGTGGAATGTCACGCACACGAAATATCAGCTGCATAATCACCAACATTTTCCAGAATGATTACAACAACTGGTATATTTTGACGGCAGATGCTGACCACTGGCTCTCTCAGTAGCACCAAGACACTCACTAGTCACCACCCAAACCGCTTGGGTTCTCACCCTCAATCAGCCCATAATCCTTATCCCCTGAGCACTCACCGCCAGCATGACGGGCGCCACGAAGGCCCAGCAGACCTTCCAGAAGAGGCTGGGCCGGAAGCCGACCATGAAGTGCACATTGTCGGCGAACCGGCGCACGCCGTACACCCACATGATACCGACCAGCTCGAACACGGCGATGACCATGACGCCCAGGCCGCCGAATGTGTCCATCAGGTGCAGCACGTACGGACCCGCCTGGGGGCGGAGTGAGACGGGGGGGGGGGGGGTCAGCCGTCTGGGGTCAGCCTAGGTGAGCTGGAGGTGAAGTTTCTTCTTTACGGGTGTGTGGAGATATCGGACGTATATACCCGCCCACATCTGATATCTCTAACCGCCCCCGCGGGTTACTGAAAAACTCGCTTCTTCGTCGCTGCTCGGTATTTTAGTAACTCGCTCGGAAAAATATCCTCATCTCCCACTCGGGGCCGTGAGTAATCCCATACATCTCACCTGGGAGACGCACGGCAGGCCCATCAGGAAACAGCTGCTGGAGGCGATCAGCGTAATCAGCGCCTTGCTCTTCCGCGTGGACGGGAACGCGTCGTAGATGGCTGTGGTTACCGTCTCCAGCAGAGCAAACTGTCAACACAGTCAGGTGGGGTCAGGTCAGGTGTCAGTCCTCGGATGACATATTATACATATGTATAATCATTATCGCTTAGTGGGCTGTAGACATCGTCAAAAGCCATGGAGTGGCTGCAATAGCGTGGCGTCTGAATTTATGCGTCTTATTACGTTTTTTTATTCTCCCTATATAATGTAAGAACGGCGAATATCTTCATCTCAGCGCCACCCTTCCTCTCTACAACCACAAGAAGATCTTCACCTCGGCGCCACCCCTCCTCTCTATCTCTCACACGGCCGACCCCGACTGACCTCCGAGTCCAGTCCGAGGGTGTAGAGCATCAGGAAGAAGAGGACGGACCAGAGCTGCCAGCCGGGCACGGCGCCGATGGCCTCCGGGAAGGCGATAAACGCCAGGCCCTGGCCGGACTTGACCACCTCGTCCACCCGGACGCCGGCCGACTGCGCCATCGAGCCCATGATGCTGAACACGGCCACAGAGGCGATGATGGACGTGATGAAGTCCAGCGATGAGATGAGCATGGCGTCGATGTGCACCTTGTTGTTGAACTTGTTGTACGAGCCGAACATGATGATGCCGCCCCAGGAGACGCTGAGAGAGAAGAACATCTGCTCGGCCGCCTTCTGCCACACCTGCCGACGGGAGAGGGAAGGGAGAGAGAGGGTCAGAGCGGGAGCGGAGGAAGGGGAGAATGCGAGAATGCGTGCAGTCTAGTCAGCTAATCGGAACCAGTGTCGTGGCAGTGAAGGAAACACGACACCCTGACAAACTAACTTATCAAAACAATGTCTACTCTTAGACCGGGACTGAGGACACTGTAGACACCAGCGACGGGCGCTCTTCCATAAAAACCTCGAGCACCCAGCTCACGGGAACTCAGTACCTACATGAAGCGCTGGACACACATCAAAACTATCGAAGACTATCACCAACTCGACGATGAATACGCCGGGCGGCCTGGGCACTCGGCACTCACGTTGATGTCCTTGAGTTTCTCCCAGTCGGGGATGAAGAAGAACTTGACGCCGTCAATGGCGCCGGGCAGCGTGCACCCGTAGGCCAGGATGGCGATCAGGAAGGCGTACGGCACCGTGGCAGTCACGTACACCACCTGAAACATCATAACAGCGTCACAGCGTCACAATGTGACATACGGCACCGTGGCCGTCACGTACACCACCTGAAACATCACATCGGCGTCACATTGTGACAGCGACACACTGTGACGTAAGGCACCGTGGCCGTCACGTACACCACCTGAAACGGCACACGTCACGTAGACGCTCACGTATCTGTCCCGTAACGCGTCACATTCGCGCTTTAGCCAGTGGCCGCTGGAGGATGTTGTGCCGTGTGTTATCTTTGATATCCGAGGGAGATCACAGGGTGTGTTATGGATCTAAAGACTCATGTTTTTCGCGCCTACCTCCAGGCAGCTGCAACCCAGGGAACGAACAGTTATACTATACTAAAAGCATTACTTTGTGAGGGCAGGTAAATGCCAAGTGCCTACTAAATAAATAATATTGCATTTTCACTCATCAGTAGATTATTCGCAGTGAAGAGACAACCGAAATATGTTTATTTATCTTTGACATACTCGGTTTAGTTTGTATCGCTACCGGCAGCCGCAAGCCACAACGTAAGTTGACAGATTGGTGTCGAGCCAAACAGTCGCTCCTGGCTCAGTCTTGGCCGGGTGGCCGTGTGAAATGGCACCTTAAGTATCACGTGCGAATCACGTGTTCTAGTGCACTGTCCGGCACGTCTAACGCTAGGGTTCCCACGATTTCAAAGCCATGAGACCGAGTAACTTATCAATTGCATTGCAGTGAGGGGTAGGCGCTCAGGTCAGCTCATGGGTACACCATTTTAGTGTTTTACTCGTACAAGGCAAAGTTTGCTCAGGCCACAGGCTAGTGACGACTTTGCACTGCAGAATCGTTTACAATACAACAATATTGCAATAGTATTGCCGATATCAAATCTACGCATTACACAAGCATGATAAACAAGTCAACGTAGCTGTCCTGCCGTATATTATTGTTTTTGTTTGTCGGACCAATGCCTACACGTCATCCCCCCCCCACCCCGCCCTTACTACCCAAGGGACATGTGAACAAGTATCGTAGGAGACACATATGCACGTTCGTCTGCTGAGAGACCACCCTGACTTCAGTACCCACTCCTGTTGCCTACCTTGCCGGAGCTCTTGACGCCTTTCATGAGGCAGAGGAAGACGATGATCCAGGAGAGTAGCAGACAGAGCGCCAGCTGCCAGTTAATGTCGCCGATGTCGCCCGGCGTGGCCAGACCGTCCGGCTTCAGACGCAGCACATAGTTCCTGCAGCCGGCCAGAGGGCAGGTTATATCATGTGATAGAGCTGGCAGGCGATGCAGTGGAAGACTCGAGTGTTATTCTATTTCGGTACAATTTGCTGTCAGCACTTGTCATTAGACCAAGCGCCGCAAAGACACAAAAGACAAAGGGCTTGACTAATCTGTGCATGTGTTATTATAAATTGTCTGATGATATCCCTCACTGAAAAAAAATTTTACTCAGGCCAGGCATTACTCAGTAATAACTCATGAAGAAACTCAGTGAATACGATAGTGGTGCTCACTTATTGGCTGGTCTAACTCACATCACCAGGGTGACTTCGTTATGCGTGAGTTCTGAGTGCTTAGTTTCGTGAATTCGAACTGAGTCGGAAATGAGTTTTGCTTGGGCAAATCTAGTTTCCTGCGCAATGCATGAGTTCTCGCGAATTCACGTGCAGTTGTGCGTGAGGTACCCCCGGCTTGAAGATGCGCGCATGCGCGGCAGGGTGAGTTTCCTGCGTGATGCGTGAGTTCGCGTGATGAGTATTATAGCCGTTGCGTTCGAAAACCGCGGCGCGCGCTTCAGTCCGTTGTGGCGCGGTGACTCGCGTAGTTCACGTTGAATTGTTGAGGCTATTGTGAAATTGTGCGGGAGAGTGCAGGAGCGGGGAAGGCGTGCAGCGAAGGATGGGACGGGTAAGTTATCTGTGAAGAGCTCGGTGATTGTCGATGAAGCTTTTATCAATCGCATGCGCCGCGGAGAACAGGGAGGTGAACGGATGGACCAGCAGACATTCCCCGCCGGCGTCAGGAGGTCGGTGCCAACCGTGAACGGCGGAGCAGATCGATCGAGAAACTGAGGGATACCTACCCGGCATAGTTCGAGAAAGAAGAGGTGAGTTATGTTATATTCAAATTTAACCCTTGCATGTGTGCGGCGTTTTCCAGCTTCTAATGTGTAGGGGGGGGGGGGGGGGGGTCGGTTGGACCCCCCTTGCCGTTTGGCCCCTGATCGAGCTAGAGCTTCGCGGATAAAACGAGCGTGTTGCCCGTGACGAGAGGAAGCCGATGATACCCAATTTTAAGGTCCTAGGTCATTGGTTGACCTTCCAGGTCAGGTCAATGACCCAAAGTCGGGAAAATCGGGACCTATTAGAAAGTCGTAAAATGTGGCTGCTAAGGGGTTTTTCGGGATACTGATCACGAATATCGTGTTAGTTTTGATCACAGATGATGTCTTTAAGCATTTAGACCAGGTCGGGTCAGGTCAGGTCAGGTCAATCAGTAGGCGTCGTGACGGGTATTCGTATTTCGTAGTACGTGTCAACCGCCTCTGACAGCTTCGTAACATGTTACGAAGGCACCAAAACTACTTCGTAAATGTTCAAATGGTTGTTAAATTCGAATTCAGCTCCAAAAACTAGCCTAGAAACATGTAAAACTCGAAAAAGTGAACCGAGGTCACCCGAGGTCACCAAAGGTCAATGACCTGACCTGACCTTCAGGTGACCTTGACACCCACCCTAATGCATGGGAGCAACATCAAATCACATGTTTGAACGTTTGAAACCACGAAAAGCTTGCAAACGCGCGGCTAATGCGAGCCGACGTACGCCGAATCGCGATTCCGGCCAAACATGGTCTCGGAAAAGAGGTCACAGGTCAAAGGTCATTTGGGTCAGGGTCATGAAAGTTTCAGGGTAGGTGTAAAATTGATCAATGCGATGGTGCTGAAAGTTTCGTCGCGATCAGCCGCTTTTTACGCGAGTTATTCGCGAAAAACCATGGGGAAAGGGGGTCCATCCGACCCCCCCCCCCCTACACATGCGAGGGTTAAAAAAAAACATGTTTGTGGGATAATGTTGTCCTTATCCTAAAAGGACGTTCATTTGACCCTTTTTACTTCTTTAAACAAGAACTCCGTCACGACCCGATGTTTTTTTTTTGGGGGGGGGGGGGGGGCGAAGGTTGTTTGAAGTCGATTCTTTCCATGCAGCATCCATAGGCACAATGTTAAAAATGTAAAATATTGGGGGACACGTCCCCCGTACCCTTCCCCCCCCCCCCCCGGTGGTGGAGCCCATGGTCTTAATTCCGCTCGCTGAACCGTTTAAGATTCTTTTGTCTCGTTTGTGCTTGTTATTTTTCCACTGTTATTATTTTTTCCGACTGTTTTTTTTTTTAATGCCTACACACATATTTTCGTACACTATTCGATTTCAGCGAGCATTTTTAACCTTTCTTACATATTAATTATTAGATACCGCGGCGAGACTTGGCGTGACATACTTATTTCCATTACTGTTAAGTATAACACATTTTATGTGATTGTTTCAAGCTGATTTTAATATTGGACGCCCATGGAAGTGTTTTGCGAGTCTAAAACCCGACTGTTAAGGTGACCATCCGACCTTGACCCGCGCTGTGCTGGGTGGCGTTTTACGCCCCCCACCCCGCCCCCTCAGGTTTTTCGCGAATATCTAAGAACGGCGGCGCGCAGCGCCACCATTTTCGGCACACCTGCTCATACATTTGTTTCTGCATATGAAGAAATTTTAGACCCAGGTCGTTCAAGGTCAGGTCACGTCAAATGACTTAACATCGGAAAAAATTTCAATGGTCGCTGACGATCGCACCGTTCGCAACGTGCCATGGAAACCGTTCGATATTTTTGTCATTTTCGCTCAGGGAATTCACCGCTCGATTTCACACCAGTTTGAGGTAAAATGTCAAAAAAATATCGAACGGATTTCATTGTATAGCGTTTTTGATACTGTCCCATCACCATGTCTCAAGTATCAACCTTACGGCATGTATAAAATATATTTGCTAGTGCAATAAAACACCTCATATGTGTTCAGCTTGACGGTTTGGATCGACTGATATGCAACATGACCTGGTCAGGTCAACCTAAGGTCAAGTTTTAAATATGGCCTTTCAAGGTCTAATTATAGTTCATTCGTCCCGACGAGAGGAACACTATGCTAACGGCAAAATAAATGTCGTGACTCTTGAGTGGAAAGTATTACAGAAAAACATTTTGGTAAAAACGGCTTTTTTAGAGTTCTTGCTCTCTGGAGGCTTAATTGTTGACCTGAGGTCAAATCTGAGATCAAACGCCAGCAAAAAAAAAGTCGAAAGGGCTTTTGACTGCATTTTTCCGCGGGCAGCTCTTTTGGTTCCGAGTTAAGCACCAGTTTTTCGAAAATATTGAAATAAGCAAAATTTGGCCTTTCCTGACCTCTGGTGACCTGGCACTTGACTTGACCTTAAAATTACCCAAGTATTTCCTTAAATATCTTTAATGCTTTTTCGAAAGCCGCTTACTGCGTGTCGCTACGTGGCCCAACCCCAACAGCCGAGTTAGAAGAGGGGACGTGAAGACGACCCCCTCCCCCAGTACATCACGGTAAACTCAGAGCACCAGCACGGCGCGGTTTAACATTAATTTTGAGCTGAAGTAACTTGATAACTTTTGATATTTCAATCACCTTGCATGCCCTATAACTTCTGTTTCTCTTACTGGCAAAAGAAAATCTGACTTTTTTATTGTGTTTTCAGGGAACGGCCCATTGAGCCTCCTCTGCATCTTGGCGGAGAAGGCGTCAGTGGTGGCGTACACGGGTGACGAAAATTTGGATCACCCCTATCATAACAAGTCCGAAGAAAACGAACGGTGCCGCCTCATCGTGGAGCGAACGGAAGTCTTATGGGGATCCATGGTTTGGAAGGGAGTCTTTTGCTGTGGGCGACGGCGCACTTTGTGCTCAGTCAACAAACGGCGCACAAAGTGCGAAACACGCTGTGGTTTGTGTGTATCCATGTGCTCCACACACCATTCAATGCTGAGCGCCAGCCACCTGTAGCCGCGAAGACTGAGGTCGAGAAGCTGGCAAAAGAGTGAAGCTGAGCTGACGTGGAGTCGATCCCCCCCCCCCCCCCGACGCAGTTTGGCGTGTGTCAGAATTGAAATACAGCGCAATGCGACCGTTTCTACAAACATGTATTTCTTGTAAGGGCTGGGGCGAATAGTGTAAGACTAGACGTTGGTCGGGCATGGTATAATACAGATATGTATGCTGGTTTTGGGCAATGATTCGTTATATATTGGCCAATCCCAATATATAGACTAGCTGCCTGGTAGTGGCTGTTGTATCAGCATCATGCATGCATATTGCATAATGCTGATGCGGCAGCTGTTATCATGGGCGGCGAGCCTATACATTGGCTTGAGCCAATATAAAACGAATCAGATCAGCCGTTTCAGGCGGCGCCTGAGTAACACCCGAGTATCGTATGAGTTATCGACGTGAGTATGTCCTGAGTACAGCCCTAGTTTTCACTGAATAACCGATGAGTTCCAACTGAGTTATGGCCGTACTACCACCTGAGTTATACATTAGTACCAGCTGAGTTACATGTGAGTTACTTCCTAGTTTTTCATGAGTAATGACTTACTAATACCTGAGTTTGGCCTGAGTTGTCTGAGTAGGACATGAGTTACGCATGAGTACTTACTGTGTTTTATCTGAGTTTTACCATCGGACAAAATGGCAACTCACTTTGTTACTCACATGCTACTCACTTGCAATGAGTTTTGCCCGAGTTTTACCTGCGTTCCGCCCTGAGTTTTACCTGAGTACGCGGATTTAGAGTGAGTTTTACCATTGGACAAAATGGCAACTCAGTCATTACTCAGAAAAGTGAGTAAAAAATTTTTCAGTGCTCTCATAAAACGCCTAGCCGGCTGATGTGAGCCGTATCAGCGTCACTCCCGGCCGGCGGCGGAGGGCACCCACTTGAAGTATTGCTCGGAGGCGAGCTCCGTCTTTGTGTGGCAGTCCACCTCGGGGACGAAGTCGGTGATGTTCTTTGAGAGCAGGTACTGGCACGCCGGGTACGAGGCGTTCCGCACAAAACACTTGTCGTCGGCGAACCACTCTGCGGGCAGACGTCGCGAGATCAGTCAGTCGATGGAAGTTTGGACAAAGTTCAGCCAACAGTGATCATTAAGGATCGGTTTTACTATTGCATATCGTTGCGTAATTTGTGTGGAATATGGATGTTGACATAGTGAATTGTAGCCACTGAATCCTAACAGTCACGTGAACAGTCACGTGCACACGTGAGCTGTGAGGAGACGGTAGGTGCCCGTGATTAGCGAGCGGTAGGGACCGGCTCGGACGGCTGGCGGGAGGGGAAGGCCGTTACTCGGGGGGGGGGGGAGAATCACCTTGAGGTAATCCGGTGGTGACGCGCTACAGACAGAGTTGTCGGAGCGGCACTGCAGCGCAGCCGACAGACGGCGGGGATGTAGTGGAAAGGGGACACGAAATGCATCCGAAAGTGCGAGTGAAGGAAGACCAAGACGTGAGCGTGTGAACGCGAGATGGATACAGCCTCGGCGGCACGGATACCCTGAAAATGAAAGACTGGAAGAAAAGGCAGAGAGAAAAAGAGACATCTAAAAAGTTGATAGCGTGAGTCAGAAAAAGGAGAGAGAGAGAGAGAGAGAGAGAGAGAGAGAGAGAGAGAGAGAGGGAGGGAGGGAGGGAGGGAGGGGGAGGAGAGAGAGAGAGAGAGAGAGAGAGGGAGGGAGGGAGGAGAGAGAGAGAGAGAGAGAGAGAGAGAGAGAGAGAGAGAGGAGAGAGAGAGAGAGGAGAGAGAGAGAGAGAGAGAGAGAGAGATAGAATGAGAGAGAGAGAGAGAGAGAGAGAGGAGAGAGGAGAGAGAG